CATGAAGAAAATTCATTTCTGCATTGTTATTGAGTTGGTGTATCCTTGGGGAAAAGGGGGTCGAAGGCTTCCTGACCATCCTGTTGATGCCACCTCTCAGCTTGGTGCATCTTTTCACACACTTACTTTCCATTGATTTTTGACTTTATGCTTGAAGGACATTTTTGTAGGCAGCAAATAGTCAGTTTTGCTTTTCAATTTAATTTGGTCACTTCTGTATTTTCATTGGAATATATGTAACATACCCCAATGCGAGCAAATGTCGGAAGCTTTCAGGAGTTTAAGATGGAACTTTATTGGCCAAAGTTTTACCTGCGCAGGGGCGAACTCTCGGGGTGTCCAGAGACACGGTGCCAAAATGGCTGCAGATGAGAGTCGCGCCCGGCGCTTACAGCCTGGGGTTTTTATTGGGGTGAGCAAGCAAGCAAGCAAATACAGAAGCAGACGTAGCTGTTAGCAATTGGCTATCTCGAGAGAACACACATGGCTATGTTCTCTGCTTGCAACAATGGATAAGTTTCTGCAAGGACAAGGTCAAGCACAAGGGGGTTACCTTGTCCAGCACTCTTTGTACTTTCTGTACTTTCTATCTTCTTTGCTGAGACAGTCTGGAGCCTGCCTCGGGTTCCTTTTGGCTACTTTTATCTAATTCCGGCCCTAACACATAAATCCGGCCCTAACAATATATAGATAATTTATATTCAATGTTGACTATTGACATGATTCAGTTTAATTCACCATATTGCAATTTGACTTCTGCCTCCCCCCATTTGTCCTTGTTTTCCTTTCCCTCTTTTTCTGCCTTCTTTTGTTTTAATTTTTTTTTCATTCTATTTTATCTTCTTTGCTGGCTTATGGCTACAAGTATTCTATGTTAGTGATTGCCTTAGGTTTTGTAGTATGGGCTATAAACTTAGTCACAATCTATCTTCAAGTAACATATCCCTTTACATATACTTAAGAACCTTATAATCACACTCCCATTTCTCCCCTCCTGGACTTTGAGCTTGCTGACATGCTCTAATTTTTTTTTAAGATTTTATGTATTCATTTTTAGAGAAAGAGGAAAGGAGGGAGAAAAGAGATGGAGGGAAGCATCAATGAAAGAGAGAAACGTTGACATTTCATGGGTCCCGACTGGGGATTGAATCTTCAAACCAGGCATGTGCCCTGATTGGGAATTGAATGGGTGGCAGAATGATGCCCAATCACCGAAGCCGAACTGCTTGGAGCATGGGCTAACGTTAAATGTGTGTAAACACAGAACTATGTTCTCACTTTTGCTTAAACAATGATCTTTTAAAGAGACTAACGTGCTAAGAAAAAGAAAAGAGAAGAATGCCATATATTTTCCCATGCAGTCACTCTTCCTAGTGCTCTTTGTGCCTCAGTAGACTCCTACTTTTGCATGGGCTTCACTTCTCTCCTGCCTGAATGCGGGAACTGCCCCGCCTGGTCTCGGAAGCTGTAACCCCCCAGGGCTAAGGCTGAGTGGGAGACCTGGGGCCCCGAGCCACTAAGGAGACAAAGCTTAACTCCCTGGCAGGAGCACCCCCTCTGTCCCCTTTTACTTCACCCTCCTTGGCCCCCAGCGCATGACAAGTTAGCCAATGATGGGTAAGATTCCTCAAGGGAGGGGCAATCTAAGATAGACATGGTCATGAAGGGACCCCCGGGGAAGGACTTGGGGGGCTATAGAAAAAGGGGGTGATGGACCCTCACTCCTCAGCTTTGACATAGCCTGAGTCCTCATTCTGTCTGCAACAAGTCTCCTAATCTCTTTGGCTGCCTTACTTCCCCTGCCTGACTTAAGCCTGAAACAATGCTGGTGGCGAGTGTGGTCCTGTTCTGGAAAGGGCAGGTTCCCTGGGGTGACCAGGCCTAAGAAAGCATAAAATTCTGTGAAACCTACTTTGCGAATACCCTCAATTTGAATGGAAGGGTCTAAGCATGAAATGAGTTTGTTTCCCCAAAGTTTTATGGCCCTTTAGCTATTTGAGCCTGACTCAAAATAGGCCCTCCGAGTTCTTTGAATCTTAGCTATTTGATCATTACTGCTTGACAATGACTGATGAGCTTTCCATACACACCCCATATTCCAGTGCAAATTAATCCAATAAAAGCCTGTCAAGGCCAGGGTTGGTGGGCTGAGAGAGTGGCCTAGGCACTCCAAGGCGTTCTCCCTTTGAGAGAGTGGCTGTGCTGTTCCTTTTCCTCCACAGGACTCAGGAGTCCCTGTGAATTGGTCTTGTCTGATCCATAAGGCTGAGGACACTGCAGGCCGGTTTCCGCATCACCTGAAGGACTTGCTTCCAGGTTTCATGTAGTGCAGTTCTGCTGCAGCTGATTTTGTTTAGTCATTTTGTCTGTAAATCATTTTGTCATCTTTGTTCCTGAAAACTCTTGTTGTTAAATAGTGGTAGGTTGACTGTTGTGGACAGCTCTGCCTGGTTCTAGGAATTGTAACTCTACCCCCTGTGGCTAAGGAGGAGTCAGTGACTTCTGGAATGCGAATGGGAGCCACAGGAGACAAAGCTTGTCTCTGGTAGCAAATGCTGCCTCAGTTTCTCCCCGGCCCCCAAAGCATGGTCAGAAGTCCTGGATGGGTAAGACCCCTCAGAGGAGGGGCAACCTGGGCCAGACACGATCACATGGGAGGCCTTCATGGAAAGACTTGGGGGACAGTGACAAAGAGGGAACAATGGACTCTAGCCCCCTGGCTTTGACATAGCCCGAGTCCCCATCTTCTCTGGGAGAAGCACTTCCTGGCTCTAATCCCCTTAAGCCTGAATACCTGATGGGGAGAGGTGCAGCTCCTTGCCTTGCTAGAGCGTGTCCTGGGGAAAAATCTGGCATCACAAAGACTTCCTGATAAACCTGTGAAATCTGCTCTGCTAAGAGCACTTTCATTCATTTGTTAAGGGTTTGAGTAGGAAACCCTAAAACTCTGTTCCTGACAGACTCTGACTCATACTAAGCTCTCAGATTTCTTTGAAATGTTATCTACTGTTTGATCCTTGCCGCCCTGTATTCCTGTGTGTTACAACCCAATAAAAGCCCCTGGAGGAGGGAGCTCAAGGCCTTTTTCCCCTGAGAAACTGGCCACTGCTCACGGCCTTTTTCCTCTGGGAAACTGGCCACCTCTCCTCCCGAAGCAGATCACATCTTGTCTCTGTCATGTTTACCTTCATTCGTGACACATGGGGGGACTTTCGAGGAAAGTCACCCCCACAGTTGACAGTGTTTCTGTATCATTGCTTTTCAGCCATTCAATTGTGAGGTTTCATATTTCATGTTCTTAGGATTCATTACGTTCCCTGCCTCTGCAGGTTTAATTTTCATCATAATTGGAAGTGTTTACACCATTATTTCTTCAATTTTCCTGTCTCCTCTTTCCCTCCTCTAGGAAGACCAGTGACATATATATCAATCTGCCTGAACTTGTCCCAGAGCACCTTGCTGCTGTTTGTTTTGCAAATCTTGTTTCTGACTCATTTTGGATACTTCCTCCTACCTTATCAGGGTCACTAATCTTCCCTTCAGCAATGCCTAATCTGCTGTTACTGCCCTCATCAGTACTTTTATTTTGTAAGATTTTATTTATTCCTAGAGAGAGGAAAGGTAAGAAGAGAGGGAGAGAAACATCAATGTGTGGTTGCCATACTGGTGCACTCCCCACCAGGGAACTGGCCTGAAACCCAGGCATGTGCCCTGACTGGGAATCGAACCAGTGACCCTTTGGTTCACAGGCTGGCACTCAGTCCACTGAGCCACACCAGCCAGGGCAAGCGTACTTTAGTTTCACATGTAGCTTTTACCTTTATGAGTTCGATTTGGGTCTTTTTATGGTACATATTTACTAGGTCTTGGTATATACAGAATAACTGTTTTGACAACCTCTGCTACTTATACATGTACGGTAACCTTTCAATTGGATTCGACTGAAGTTTATCTATTTGGGGTAAATTTTAAAATCCCTTAAGTACCCTTGACCTTTTTGTTCTGGGGTGTAATTCGGTTTCTTAGAAATAGTATGATCCTTTTGAGATTTGTTAGGTGTGCCCAGAACAGTGTTCCCTTCAGGACTAACCACAGGCAGAGTGCGGAGGTGGTTCTCCTCAGGACCCTGCAATAAAGCAAGCCACACAAACTTTCTGGTTTTCCAGTGTATATGTTGACACTATACTATAGTGTGTAAACTATACACATCAGATGTTTTGTACGTTTGTACAAAAAATATGTATATATATATCTTGTTTGCAAAGTGCAATAAAATGGGGTAGATCTAGATTTTCCAACACTGCGGATAAACCCTTCACCGTGTCCCACTCAACGCCTTACAAATCAGTGGGGTTTTCCAGTTTGGCTGCTGGGAACAGGCACTATTTCTACCCCTGCGTCAGCTTTGAGGGCTGTTATTCCTAATCTTAGGGGGTAGCTCTTTCCCCGGCCTCAGGTAGCTTCCTCATTTACACGGTTAATGAGGGGCCCTTTCCAGCTCTCCGGAGCCCTCCCTCTGCACAGTTCTCTCCTCTCTGGTGCTGTCCTGCGCACTTGGGCCCCTTGGGTCTCCTCAGATCGCAGCTCTTTGAACTCAGGGGGTGCCCTGGGCTCTGCCGGGGTCCCTCTTCCCCACCTCACTTGAAAAGGCTCTCAAGGCTGTAAACGGGGTGATTGTAGGGCTCACCTTGACTTTTCCCATCTCAGGAATTGCTGTCTTTTGCCACCTCATGTCTAGCATCTTGAAAGTCATTATTTTGTATGTCTTGTCTAGTTTTTGATAGTTTTAGGGCGGGTTGTGTTTGTGGAGGGTAGGGTGAGGATCAGTAAATCTGATACCTATTACTACATCTGGAATAGAAGCAGAGGTCTTGAACTGTTTACCTTTATTATACAAATTTCCTAATTTCTACATTTCCTCTGAACTTAATTCAAATAATGATATTTAAAAATTCGACTCTGTATTAAGACACAATACAATAATTTATTATGGAAAGCTATTGATTGTAATACGTCTGTTAGTACATCAAGAGAGAAGTATTTTTAAAATGTGTTTTATAATACACTAACTGTAACTCAGAAATTGTAGATAATTACCACTCTCTAAACAGTCTACTGCCACTTGTAATTCTAGTGACAAGAAAGGGAGGGGGCACAGATCATAAACACCTTTCATTCATGCATTAATGTAACTTCATATAATATAAGTTGAATGACTGGGTTAATTAATGACTTAATGTGTGATTTTTATTTCACATTACGGAAATACTAATCAGATACCCACTAGTCAGGCTGCTGCCAAGTGGTATAAAAAATTCTTTCAAGAGTAGCTAAGAGCAGTAGTTCTCAGATTTTTGATGTATCTAAGAATTAACTGCAGAGTTTGTTTAAAGTGCAGATTTTCAGGAAAAAAACCCTCAGATTTTCATTTAGTAGGACTGGGAAAGAGTCTAGGAATCTGCAAATTCTTGACCTGCTAGTGACTCTGATAAGAGATAAAGAGATTACTATGCAATTAAGCAAGCCCTTAGTTCCTACTGGAACTGGATGAGTCTTTGGTGGGTAAAATGGGAGGAACATTATTAGGAGAATCAAAGCAGAGGCAAGAACAGGCCAAGGTGCTTTGTCCTAGCTTATGAGGTTTGGATTAGAAAAGCCGTCCAGGATCAAACCAAAAACCTGGGGATCAGAATCCTGAAACCACCTAAGGTTTCAGAAGAGGAGGGTAGTAATATAACAGCGATTTTTAAAGGAATGCTGACTGATGGGACGAACTGTAAGACTGGAAAGCCGAGTACAAGGTTTAGAATGATGTGCCGGAAATGAGCCTCAGGGAGGAGGCACTGACAACAGAACACAGTGTCAGATGACAGATTGGCAAAAATGTTGAGCTTGCTTTCGGAGAACTAAAAATAGGAAGTTAATATTAAATACATTTCAGAGTATTCGTCACAAACGCAACAGTAACAACAGCAATACTAACAATGAAATAAAAATAAAGAATAACAAAGAATAAAAATAAAATAATCTTCAACTGGTTTTTCAGATGTTTGCTTGAATGATTCCTGAAACTCGATGGGGGCTCAACAGCAGTTGGTATTGCCTGGAGGGATAATTAAAAGGAGCAGTTAGTACTGTAAGTCAAAACCAATCCATCATCAGTATAATCTAGAAGTAAAGCATCTAGATTCTTCTGTGAGGCAGAAGAAGCAATGCTTGCATTCTACAGCATAATTTTATTTCTATTTCTTCACTTACTTTTTTTGATCTATTTTGATTTATTTTCAAGGATTCAGGAAAAAGAGACACAACACCTACTTTCCCCAAACTACAAACTAGACCTTTAGGTTAAAATGCTAAGGGTGTGTCAGAGGGAACAGTTCTGGTGACGGGTGGGTAGAAGCAAAAAAGTCAGATGAGGCTTCGAGGAGGAGGGAGTTTGCACTGGGCTTGAAGGACAGGTGGGAGCTGGACATGCGGGAAATAGTGCGGAAATAGGAGAGAAAAGGCATTTTACAGAAAAACCTCAGAAGGCATTTCTTATACAGCAGAAACTGTCGACAAATTTTCAGTTCATGAAAATGGACAACTTGCTAAAAGCTCCCAAAGGAAGGTGATGCTTCTGTACATTCTTTTCTTACCTTCTCTTAGTGGGGTTTTGGGAGCAAAATTTTCTTTACTTTCATGAAGAAAAGCCTTTGAAGGATCAAAGTGTTTGATACCCAGAACTTTATTCAATTCCCCCTGAAGTTTTCTCTCATTTTGCTTTATTTTAGAAAGCTGAGAGCGGAGTTTCCACACCTCCTATGTAAAAAAAAAAATACAGACAATAAACAATTACTTAAGATCACGACAGTGAAAAGTGTAACAACCAATGTCATGGACAAATTCCAAAGTTGCTAAGATATCAAACCAAATGGCAAAAATCACCACTAGGTGGAGGCTTTAAGACTTTGAATTACAAAATGACAAAGGAGATAACAAATCACTTAAATCTTGCTGCTCTACAGGTACAAAGATATGTTTCCGATAAAAGTTTATCTCTCAGTTAAATGCCAAGGTCAACTTCCAGTATGAAAGCACTTGGGCTCTGCTGACCTGCTTCCTAGTGAAACTAAAAATTAGAAAAAGGCAACCAGCTAAAGCTTCTGAGAGTGGTCCTAAGGCAAAACAGCCAAGGAAGAAACATCCATTCAAGCAAATCTACAAAATGTGGTCCAAAGGCGAGGGTCTGTGGTATTTGAACAAGTCTGTTCCCTCCCCTCACAGCGTAGGAAGGTGAGATCCCCACACCAGACTGCTGCAGCCGAGAACCGGGCTTCCCGCTTCCCCCAGCTCCCCCATCAGGACATCAGCATTTCTCATCTTGCCCTCAGATACCTTGCATCAGAGAGATGCAAGTCAAAACCACAACGTGGTCTTACTTTACACGCACTAGGATGCTGGGCATCAAAAAGTCTGTTTGGAACTGTCTGCCTGGTTTTAGGAGCTGTAATTCCCGTGGGTAAGGCTGAGTAAAGGACCTTGGGACCATAAGCTACTTAGGAGACAAACTTTATCTTCCTTGTAGGGACACCACCTCTGTCCCCTTTCTCTTCACCCTGCTTGCCCTGGGGGTGGATGACTGGTTAGCCAATGATGGGTAAGATTCCTCAAAGGAGGGATGACCTAAGACAGGTAATGATCTCGAAGGGGCCCCCAGGGAAGGACTTGGGGGACTACAGAAAAAGGAGGTGATGGACCCTCACCCCTCAGCTTTGACATAGCCTAAATCCTCCTCCAGTCTGCAAGATGTCTCCTAATCTCTTGGCTGCCTTACTTCCCCTGCCTGACTTAAGCCTGAAACAATGCAGCAGGTGGTTGCGACCCTGTTCTGGAAATGGTGGGTTCCCTGGGGTGATCAGGCCTGAGAAAGAATGCATAAAATCCTGTGAAACCTGCTTTGCTAATACCCTCAATGTAAATGATAAGGGTCCAATCATGAAGTGACTTTGTTCCCCCAAATTTTATGGCCCTTTAACTATCTGACCCTGACTCAGAATAAGCCCTCAGGGTTCTTTGAATGTTATCTGTTATTTAATAATTTCTTCCTGACAATGACTGATGAGCTTTCCATATACACCTTGTATTCTTGTGCAAATTGAACCCAATAAAGTGTGTCAAGGCAAGGGTCAAGGCGCTCTCCCCTTGAGAGAGAACTCGCCCCATCCCTTTTCCTCCACAGGACTCAGTAGTCCGTGTGAATTTGTCTCGTCTCCTCCATAACACTGTGGACCCCAGGAGCCGGGATCTGCGTCAAAGTCAGGTAATCACAAGTGTTAATGGAAAGAAACCGGAACCTTCCTGTGTTGCTGCTGGAATGCGGAACGGTGTAATGCTTTGGAAACCAGCCAGACAGTTCCTCAAGGGATTAAACAGTTACCATGTGACCCAACAATTTCACTCCTAGGTAAAACCTAAGAGCAACAAAAATCCGGGTCCACGCAAAAACTCAGACATGAGTGTTTATAGCAGCTCTGTTTATAACAGCGCAAAGGTGAAAGCAACCGGAATGTCCACCAACTAAGAAATGAATGGATGAAATGTGACATGGCCCCCAAAGAGGATATTATGAAAGAACGGATGCACGCTACGCAGGTGAACCCTGAAAACACGATGCCGACTAAAAACAGACGGTTACAGAAGACCACGTGCTATTTGGTTCCAAAAAGAAAAAATCTCCAGAACAGGGAAATTTATAAAGGCAGAAAGTAGGTTAGCGGTGGGAGGAATGGATGAGAAGATAGGGAGATAATAGCTGAAGAAAGAGTAAGGGGTTTCATTCTGAGGTGACAAAAATGTCCTAAATGCACTTGTTTGTAAGTATACTAAAAGCCATCAAATTGTACATTTTCGGGCACATGAATTATAAAGCTGTTAAAGAAAACTTAAATGCTTATTTTTGAATACTGCTTATCATTACAGGGTAGTATTTATTTCAAGGATTTTGCTACTTTACAAACAGTAATAGATGTATACAGCTTTATGAATTCTTCCAATCATTCTAGTAATTTTCAATATACTAAGGAAGTAGTTAGAAGACCTGAGAACACTAACATCCATCTGGTCAATATTCTGAAATAAATCCTTAATTCTCAAGTGGATTTGCCTCTATAAACTATCACTATTTTTCTGATACCAAACTCCTTCATTTTACTTAAGTGTTATAAAGAGGATTAAAAACACCACCATAGGCAATAGGACTAGATGGTATTTTACAAACCGATTTGAGTTGGCTGTTTTCATCTTTCAACTTCACAACATGCTTGATTTTTTGCTTTAGATTCTGATGACCCAACAATCTGGCATATGAGTCCCTGAGTCTGTTCAGCTGTTCCTGGGCGGCCCCGTGTTCACTCAGCAAGGCCTGTTTCTCTGCTTCGAATGCGTCCAGTTGTAGCTGGAAAGGAGGTTTTTAATGTAAATTTGAAACTGTTAAATCTTACTTGTCTGTATCAACTATACAGAAAATACAGGTAAAAGAAAACTTAAAACATGAACCAAACCAGATTTTGTTGACATATTCTCAGGTCTCTCCATAAATTCTCTGAGATTCCTTTTTTAAAAACTGTATTTTGCATTTGAAAGGTCAGGAAAAGAAACAAGCAGTCCAGCTGGCCAGCCTAACTTGCATCAACTGGATCACATTATAACCCGTACTTATCATCTGCTTAAGTGCCAAAATCAACATTTATTCTTTTTCTTTTTAAAGATCAGTGTATTAACTTGAGATGTACTGAGAAAGATCACAACACAATAATTATCACACAGTTACATAGACTAATGATCAAAAGAGCCTTTTAAGCTATTAACTTTAAGCCTCTTACTGGGAGGTATTTTTATAACTTATAAAGGCTATATTAAAAATGTATGGCCCTGGCTGGTGTAGCTCAGTGGATTGAGCTCGGGCCTGAGAACCAAACAGCCACAGTCTGATTACCAGTCAGGGCACCTGCCTGGGCTGCAGGCCAGTTCCCAGCAGGGGACGCACGAGAGGTAACCATACATTGATATTTCTCTCCCTCTCTCCTTCTCTTCCCCTCTAAAGGTAAATAAATAGAATCTTTAAAAAATCTTTAAATGTATGCATAATAATTTAATAAAACTTATCAGCCTTCTTTAAGAGCAAGTTAAGTTGGCACTAAAGGCACAGCAAATGGTCCTTCAGAAAAACCGCATCGCTGCCGTGGCTGTGGCAGAGAACAGAGTGAATTGCTGAAACAAACACAGGGAAGTTCAGTCCTAATGGACAAACCTGAAAAGGCTTTGTTTTATTATATAGTTCTTCATAGAGGAGGCGCCACTTATTCATTTCCTCAGTTAATTCTGCCACTGTACTTTCTTCTCCGGCCTGCCTGCGAAGGAAAATTAAAGACGCAGTGTCACAGACAGAAGAACTGAGGTGCCTGGCACCCGGGTTCTGAAACTGGATTACCTTGCTGCCGCTGCTTCCAGCTGCTTCTTAAAGTCTTCCCGCTGTTGCTTCAGTTGGTTCTCCAAATCAGTGATTTTTTGAAAAGAAGAAACTGTGATTTCTTTCATTTCTGCTTCTTTAAGTGCTGATCTGGTCTGAACATCTAAAAGCATCCTTGGGTTTGAGAAAGAAGAGTCTCTGAACATTTTATAGCCACTTTAGTTACTTTTTCTTTACTTGTTTTTTAAGCTTAAGGACCTCTTCCATAATTTTATCTCTTGAACTGAGTAAATTCTTTAGGTTTTACTTATTTTTAGAGAGAGGGGAAGGGAGGAAGAAAGAGGGAGAGAAACATCAATGTGAGAGAGAGACATTGATGGGTTGCCTCTCCCATGTGCCCTGACCAGGAACCAAACCCGCAACCCACGCATGTGCCCAGACTGGGGATCGAACAGACAATCTTTTGCTTTGCAGGACAATGTCCTGGCAACTGAGCCACGTCAGTCAGGGCTAACTGCCATTTGAGATCACGCACAGCAAGCCGTGAAACCCACTATAATTCCCTGCAGCACTTAATAGGTCGGTCGCTTTCAACAACGTTGAAGTATCTCAGTGGTTGGAGGGCCTCAGGGTGGGGGGCTTTCTTTCTCCGACATACCTTGCATATTCCTGATTTGAGTTCTCAGTTGCCAGTATCTGATGCTGAACATCCTCCGCACTTTTCTCGGCCGTGGCCACTTTTTCCTTAAGTGATGAGTTCTCCCGCTTAAGATCTTCTATCTCACTAGCTGTTAATGCTTTATAGCTTATTAATAAGAAAAGTAAGTCAAGATTTTTCTAAGTACTGTATACATGGCAAATATATAACCGATGAATTTATACTTCATAAAATTTTAGGGAAAACAAACAAAACCTTAGTATCTATGCATTGACACAAGTAAGAATTAAGTGTTCTGAGGTTAGTACTTATGAGCTTATATGGCATGTGCTGCTCATTAAAAAAAAAATCAACTGTCTACTACGTGTAGGAAGTATGCATACAGACATAAAAAAAACCAACTATGAAACATAAAAATTACCCTAAAATCAAAATTCTACAATCCCTGGACTTTCTGTCAGAGTTTATGGTGTTGTAAGGAAGATAGGAAAATGCCTCCCTGGGATTTTGGGGGAAAAAAAAAAGTGATAATTAAATTCATGGTAAGTGTTATGAAGAAAAAACTACACAGCTCCTTAAGCTACAGCTCCTGATAAGGGGACCCTACATTTTGGTTGGTGATCCAGAAAAGGCCTTTCTGAGGAATTTAGATCTAAGCTGAGCCGTGGTGGAGAAAGGAGGTTTAGTGAGGCAGTCGGGGGAAAATACTTCACAGGGAAAAGATGCTCAGAGGCAGGCAGGACATAGTGCTGCAGACCACGAGACTGGAGCGCTCGCTTTGGCTGCACATATACTGCTACTGGAACAAGGCAGAGAAGGTGAGCATGGCTCTTGTGCAAGGATAATATGCAAATTCACGAAGCGTCCCATATTTGAAAACAAAAAAGTAAAACAAAAAAAAAGAGAAAAAGGATGAAACTAGAGCCCAATAAATAAGACAGGCAAGAGCAGAAGCTAGACAGGGCTGCGGTCACTCCTTACTGCAACTCCCCACGAGGGTCCCTGAGCTCTCTAAGGAAGTGTGTGCATCACTCTGGAGACAGGAGGAGAAGGGACTGGGGAAGGTGCAGTACTGCAACCCTGGAAAGTTACCTAAAAGACAATGATCAGTCCAGGTGAGTGAGAAAGAAGGCTTGGACTTAGGTGCTGGCAACAGAAAGATGTGAGATCTATTTTGAAGGCAGAGTTTTAAAATTCCGGAAGTAGATATTAGGAGAAAGGGAGAGGAAAGGATCCAAGATGACACTGAGATTTATGGAATGAGAAGCTCGGAGGATGCCACCAACTAAGATACAGAAGAGAGACTATGGGTAGAAAGAGATACAAGGAAGATCAAGAGTTGTTTCAGTTGCTATTAGAGACTAGTGAGGTATCTACTTGGAGATGTCACGTAAGCAGCTACATATACGGGCACAGAGCTGAATGGGGACGCGTGGTTTGAAGAAACATTAAATGGTATCAGCACGCTGACGGAGAGTGAAGCCACAGAATGGCTAAGCACCTCTGAAGGCACTATTTTTCACAGGAGCAAGAAGGAAAATCCCAGTACAGCATTGGGAACAGCACCAAAAGTTACTAAACATAAAATGTATACAATTTATATTTCTGCACTGACATCAAAATTGTCATTAGAATGTGATCTGTATGCGCATGTATACATGTTATATGTAACACATCACATGAAGGAGCAGATGACTGGGAAAGAAAGTACTAGTCGATGACTGGGCACCGGGCCAGTCATGATCCAGATGGAAAAAACAAAAATAAATTTGACCCTGTATCACTGCACACACAGAAATCAGTTCTGGGTGAAAAAGTGAAAAGTGAAACAGAGACTTTCGAAGAAAAATAGGTAACTATCTTTATGTTCTTGGGATAGAAAGAAGTTCTTCAATGAGATGCAAAAGTGTTTACATAAAAATCTACAAGTTAACCACATTAAAATCAGAGGGAAATTACTGTATATAGTAAGACTACCATGTCACACTAAATGCCCATTTATGGCCGGTCACTGTGAAATGAAAGTGATACCAATAACTTTATTTGTGTGATTTTGTTGTTGACAGTTTTTTCCCTAGATAAACACCCCTCCGTGCTCTCGTTTTGTTAAGAGCGCAGGCTCCCAGCAACAGTACCTTTCAAACTGAGCAGTGACGTCTCCAAGGCTTTGCTCGGCACTGTTACACCTCTCCTGCAACAGCAGGGCGGCCTGAGAGTGAGCGGCATCGCTTGTCTCGAGTTCCGCTTCTTTCCTAAGAAATAGACAATCACAAGACAAACTGCTAACTACCAATCATTGCCCTAAGAAAGAGATTAGTACTTACCTCTGACACGGGGGATGTTTGCGTTAGCTACTGGATAGCTTCGACCTAAATTCATGGCCTACCTCCCACAGCATGTTTGGTACGTGGGCTTCATCTCCTCTTTCCTGTTCCAATTCTACTTCTGTTTTCATCCTCATTTACTTATCTCTAAATTTATCTTTTCATATCACATGTATTGATGTAGTTAGTTTAAACACTTTTTTTTGGAAGTAGGATAAAAAGACTCAAGTAGAATCTTAACAGCAATAGCTGAGACTAAAGAATGTGAAGAATTACTGGTTAAAAAGCATTTGGAATGAATAAAATTTAATTCTCTGCACATAGACCTTTAAGAAATACTAAGTACAGTTAGGGACACTTTGTTTCAAAAGTCCTTTTGAAATGAGTCATAGGATTATGTAGATTTATTTTATTATGTCAATAACCCACAAAAATTGTTATTCAAAGATTCAACAACTTATGTTGTGGATTATTTTGCATAGAGACATTTCCATTTTTGTGTATATGTCCATCATTTTACATAGTGGAAGTTATATCTTTAATTACTTTTTTATGTGGGAGCACAAACACTTCAGAAATAACTATCAAAAAGCAAAATGGGAAAAAACAACCACAACCGAAAAACATTAAAAAATAAGAAATGTATCATTAGAAGTAGAAAGTAGAAGAGATGATGCTTTATTTTTATTCCACCTCCATCCTGTTTTCATCACATTATGTGTCTTCCGCTATATTTACTTAAATTAAAATATCTGGTTTGATTATTGAGTTCAAATCACTAATAATTTTATTATTTGAATCTTTGAATTTTCATCACTAAAAAATTTTCTAGCAAGGAACCGTGACCCACACATGAGCCTACATGTAATATACCTCAGAACTGTGTGAGCATCTCTTGCTGAATACTACTTTTATTAATTCCTTTTCTGTTTTCTTGTAGTGATTAGTGATTAAAATAAAACAAAACAACAGGTTCTCATACATGTTTGCTTTGGGGGGAGCAGTATCAAAATGTAATTATTAGGGGGATTGTTCTGTACTTTGTAAAAATCCAAAGTCATGTGTAAGTATGAGGTCCCATTAATACAAACCCTTTCAGCTTTTCTTCTAGAAGTGCCAACTCTTCAGCTCTGGCTTTTGCTTCTTCTTCCAGTTGTTTGACCAGCTTTTCGGCTTGTCCCTCCTTTTGCTGTAAGTTATCCAGCTCATCCAGAGCTTGCTTTAATTCTTCCTCAAAGAGATTCCGTTCTTTCCTTATTTCCTCTTGGAAACAGCAAAGCTTCTGCTTAAGACTAGAAGATAATTCCTTTATCCGAGAGAAAATGACCAAAATTATTTGAGAGTTTTAAATAATTTAATAACTTGTGATGTTTTATTAAGGACAGAAAAATGTACAGATAATGATGTAAGAATACCAAATTCAAGATTGTCAAGGAAATTTGAAACCGTATATGAAGATACCATATTTACTTTGTTAGGGATTATATCCTGTATCTTGTCAACAGTGTGATAAATGGTATTTTAGTCTTTGTTTCTATGCAACACATATACACAAACACACTTTTTGTAAAAAATAAAAGCATTGTCTACAACTAGTTTTATTATATCTGTAGTCGTATATTATATAAGAACTATTATTTCAATAATATACAAAAATGTTTTAAAGTTACATGGATACCAGTAAATATAGGTAAATCACCACTGTGAAAAATTCTGAAATTATAATTCACATTATAATGTAAAATTTATAAAGTGTAAATTACCTTTGACTCCGTCCATCTCAATCCTAGCTTCCTCATTCCTGAGATAACCACTTTAGTAAACATATATGCCTAATGGTCTTTCCTATATATTTACCTATAAATATTTAATAAGATAAATGACATATACCGTGTATAAAAAGGTCAGTCAAATAACCATAAAAATGATTGTTGAGGTATTTTCAAGTTGGTATAGATAGATTTACTTAATTCTTTTTGTTGCAGCCTCCCCAACAATATGTATATTATATACACATTATATTGCCCAACTCTCACCAAGGGTTTTTTAGCAAATGTTTAAATTTGTGTCAATCATATATGTAGGAAAAAAAAGGATTTTTATTCCTTTAATTACACTAAGGTAGACCATCTATTAACTGTTCTGGGCTCTCTGAATTTCTACTTCTGCCCATTTTTTCCTAGTGGACAATCCTTTTTCTCATTGATATGAAAAGTAGTTTTTATGTAATCTGGATTTGAAAAATGGCCAGTTTTGTGTGATGAGATGCTTTTTTTACAGCCTAACTATAAATGTCTAGGTAGTAACCTAACACAAGAACGTGCTGAAATGATTTTTAAAGAATTTTCTTATTTTGCCTCATCTGGTTGCTTGTAATTTTTTTTGCATTATCAATAACAGTGTGGTGAACACCTTTGTAGCTAAATCTGCAGCATAACCACGATGATTTCTTCAGGATGAAGCTCTAGAAGTATAATCGGTGGATTGACTCTGACCACGGGAAATGTGCGATAGGAAATGAGCACCGGTTTGACTTTACACTGTGGTAAACTACCTTCTCCTGTTGCAGAAGTGCGTCAGTTTGCAACTCTTTCTGTTGTAGCTTTTCATGTTCTTGTTTTTCAAGAATTAACTTCTCTTTTAAGCTTTGCATTTCAGAATTTAGATTTTCATCCTGTTCTCTGTCCCTGTTAATGAGGTCTTCTAGAAAAGGAAAATGTAAACAATGTTGTAAACAGACACTAGTATTAACTTTGAACACTATAGATTCCCATAATATTTCATTATATATACATAGCATGTTGAGATCAAGTATTTTTAATAGGAAAAAAAACCCCTGTAAGTTTATATCATTGCTCTATATGTTATATAATAAACCCCTCAAACCTAGTTTTATTTATCTCCCAATTTTAAATAGCCACAAGTACGGAAGTCAAATACTGCCCAATTGTATAGATTTACATCAAGACAAGCAACACGTTAAAATAAACATTATAACAGACTAAAGTTTCATACATAGAACAGGATGTTTTGTTGTTGCTTACACAACAACAAAAGTTGCTTATTTTAATAAGTTGTTTAATTAAGGACATTGTTGTTTAAACGTAGCAGTGCTTTTCTTAAATATTGTATGTAGGACTTAGCTGCAGAAAATAATACTATAAACACTAGGATACCTTTTTCTTTCTCAAGTAGTTGGCATTTAGCATCCAGGTCTTTTACTTGTTGAGACAAGGTAACAGTGTTTTCCTCAAGAGACTGCTTCAGACTTAAAACTTCATGATTCTTCTCTTTCAAATTTTCTTCTAACTGGGCGATGTCTAGCTTGTATTTTTCCGCTTGATCTGAGGCACAACTGCATTAAAACAAATTATTTTGAAGAGCACATCTATGTAAGCATATGGAAAATTAAGTGAAAAGAGATGAAGTTGATATAGTCATCGTCCTTCAACAAAATGAGGACCAATTTAAAACTACTACTGATATTACCTTATTTCTTCAATGTATTCTAAGAGTTTTTCCATATCAGATTTTTCATCCAGCTTTTCCTTCTGTATTGAATCACTGAAAAAAAGGATGTATATATTACTATGTACAATTTTCACACACGATGCTTACTCACTCTGTACCAGACACTGTTATACGAGGCAGGCTGATTCTTCAGTCTAAACTCTGAACTATTCATGTGATCTCTCAGGTTGACATTTTAATATATGCAAATAGGAGACAATTTTTTAAGTGAGAGAGCTTTCAAACACATTCTGATAAGAGGGCTGTGACGAAGACAGTCACCATCTGCAACACTCCACCTTTTTTATAGCTTTCCTGGTTTCCCCACCTACCCCTCGTACAAAATAGCATATTGTACGCCAGAACGCCTTTGTTCCAGTGCCTTATGTACAATTACTCATGTGTTAACCCTTCTCCAATCACCTCCATTTAAGAAATGGGCAAAAGGCTTAACTAGGCACCTTACAAAAGGATATATACAGTCAATAAAAATATAATTGACTTTAATAGCAATGAAGTAAAATCATGATGAGAGACAGCTCCTAGCAGGGCTAAAATCACATGGACAACACCCGAGGTTGGTGAGGACATGGAACCAGAGAATCTGCCGCGCGCGTCGCTAAGTGGGTGTGTAAGATGGTTCATCTCCTTTAAGTTTCCGAAAGCGTCATAGGTAGACTGCACGGTGACCCAGGACTCTACTCGTATATATTTACTCAAGAGAAATAAACACATATTGATCAACAGCAGAACCGTAAACAGGTGGAGGTTTATTCATACATGGAATCCCACTCAGAAATTAAGAGGAGCAAATTATAACACACACACATGCATGCTATGACAAATGTCCCCCCGGCCCAACTAATTCATGATGCTGAGATCAGAACATGATTGTGGGGTTGGGGGCACTGCACGGGAGGAGCGGGAACAGGCACCCAGGAGCTTTCTGGGGGAATGGCAGTGCTCTCCAGCGTATTCGGGTGGTGGGGATTTAGGTACAAACCACTCTCAAAGGGCATCAGACGGACTACTTGTGATCTGTGTGTCTTATTGCATGTCAATTACAGCTCAGTAGCGAAAACAAGGCTACGATGATGCATTAATCACGGCCTCCTACACCAGTGCTTCTCAATTTGGGTCCATTTTATCACTTCCACGTGATTACAGTATCAGAAAGACTATGAGGCCTTTCCTCATCGCTGATACAGGAGATGTACAAAAATAATAACAGACGTATGTCTTTTCAGGCTAAAATATTTTGGAATAAATAGGTCTGAACTATCACGTGGGAAAAGAGATAAGGCAATCAGAGGAAGGCAACGGGGTAGGTACTGTGGGAAGGTTAACAGAAAACAACGGCAGGTGAGAGAGGTGAATCCCGAACTGGTCACACTCAATGCTTTCTCTTCCCTTCAGGCACTCACAGTTTTCCCTCCAGCTGTGCGATTTTCCCCTGAGACTCTTCGAGACTCTTCTGAGTGACCTGCAGTTTCACCTCCACACCTTGTTGCTTAGCCATCATACTCTACATGACAGAAATACGTTGCAGGAAGTAAGAAATCGTTCAGATCCCAAGGACCAGACACAGCTCCGTTAGCACAGGTATCACTCACCCTCATCTTAGTTTCTCTTTTGTTTCTAAGTTTCGTCAACTCAAGGCTTAGAATCCTCAGATTCTTCTGGTTACCATCTTCAGAAAACTAAGTAGGACAAACATGTAAAACATTGAGAAATATTTTCTGCTAAGTCATATATTCAATCACTTAAATATTGATTATCCTAGCAATATTGGGGCTGTTACATGCTGGCAATATACTCTGACAGAGCAAACAACCGCCTCTGACCAGTACCAGGGTTACTGTTTTACACTACTCCTGTTCCTTCATGTGAAGCTCTGGTTGATTTTAGCAGCCTAGGTGGCCACTTACCTCTGCTGGAATATGCATTGCAAAGCTCTAAAACAAAGTTCTTATAGAGGATTTTGTAAAGGGCGTTCGCGTAACAAAATGATTCTGAATTGCCCAGTCTACTTTGAAATATGTGAGGACTCCAGGGTCCATCCCAGGCCAACTAAATCAGATCTCACTGGAGGGGGCCCGGGAATCTGTTCCCTTCCCCACGGTTCTTTCTTTTGCACCCTCACTCCCTCTGTAAACGAAGAGCCCAGCACATTACAGGCCCTAATAATGTCTCTTAAACTGAACAGTGATTCACAGCATCCTTCTGCTTATATAAAAAGCAAAATGACCATGTTAAGTACTAATAGTATGTTAATACTGAACACACTTTATGTATTGAACACACTTATTCTTGCTGCACTTTATGTATTCCCAAAAGAATTTGAGATGAAAGCCTGTTATTATACTGCTACTTATTTTAAAGAAAGGTCTTTAAAGTGACTTCTAGATGTATATTCTGCAACTCCGAATAATGTCCTTATTTACTAGAGTTACTTTGAAAGAAGGTCAGACATTAAAACAAAAATTAAGTTGGTTCTCTCTAGCTTCTTGTGTGCCAGGCATAATAAAAAAAGATACGATAATAATTCCTACTGGAAATAGCATAATATTTAAGGTACTTTTAGTAAAGGGGGGGAAAAAAAAGACAAAACTAGAGTCTAAAATTCCCAAACCACTAGTATGTGAGAAAGAAACACGTTTACTATGTATTCAATTGTAAATATTGTCACATGGTTCAAATACCTTAGATTTCAGCAGCTCGTTAGTCCTGGTCAATTCAGTAAGCTGCTTTTCCAGGGAAGCGTTACCTGCAGAGAGAGAGGTTTTCTCCCTGACCACAGCACTTAGCTTTGCTTCCATCTTCTCCAGCTCGGCCTCCAGATCCTGGAGCCGCTTGTCCTGAGCACCACGTTCCTGCACAAGGACGCGGATCTAGAAGGCGACAAGGTGACCTGGGAGTGATTCACTGACACAGTGACAACGTAAATGGCTACTACTGACGATTACATTCAAGTTCTAGGAAAACTTCTGATTGTGACAGGACGCTCTTAGATATTCTAATATCACTGGCTGTTAGTTTGAACAATTGTAATTTACTTTATGAGGCGGCTTAAAAATCTGTAAGCATTTTAAGAACACAGGATTTTAATTGCTGTAAACCTCCCAGTGTAATTCAACTCTTTATTCATCTTTAAGATCTTTGAGAGCTCATACTTCCCCCAACATAAGATTCTCTATGCTTATATTATTGGTTTATAACCGATTAAGAAAAAAGAGCCAGGTGAGAACTGAGGAGCAAATGGGGGTCTAAAGGGGCAGCCCTACACGGCCCCACAGATGGTTACCCAGGAGGGGAATGTGGGAACCTGGCTGTCGGATCTGATTTTGCAACAGAAATCAGAAATATGAATTTATTTTTGCACAAAATCTTTTTAAAGACTTTATTTATTTATTTATCTACAGAGAGAGGGGAAGGGAGGGAGAGAGGGAGAGAAACATTAATGTGAGGTTGACTCTCACGCACCCCCTACTGGGGACCTGGCAGGCAACCCAGGCATGTGCCCAGACTGCGGATTCAGCCAGTGACCCTTTGGTTCGCAGGCCCATGCTCAATCCACTGAGCCACACCAGCCGGGGCTGCACAAAACTTTAAATACTGATAATTAATTCAAGTTAAAAAACAACAAATACAATGGGGCTTAAGTAAAATAGAGCTCCATTTGCCAAAAATCTAAAAGATTAATTGATACAAATGCGCGAACGCAAAAAAAAGTTCTAATCCTGGCATTGCCACTTACCTGCTATCTAACTGAGATTCACCGATTCCCCCCATCAATCTCTTGCATGTATCCTCAATAAAATGATAGCCAATATTATTAAAATAAATACAAAAGGATCAGAGCAACCAGGACAGAGATTTGCAAAGTTACATTGGCATATTCTTCGTCCTGAGCTAATGTTCAACCACAACCAATGGAAAGTTTTATACGTCAGAAGAATATGTCCACCGGAAAGAGCCAGTTAAGAAACGTGAATAAAAAACTGCCAGAAAAGCAAAGCCGGGAGTGACCAGCTGAGTCCTGCTTAGCGGGGTCAGTGGGTTCTGCAGGTCAGCTCTGCTCAGCAGAATCTCTGCCATGGCGGAAATGCACTGTCCAGTATGCGAGCTTCTCATTACAGGTTGCTATTGAGCACTTGAACTGTGACTAGCGCAACTGAAGAACTGAGTTTGCCATTTCATTTCATTTAAATAGTCATGTGTGGTGAGCAGCTACAACGCAGGACAGTGCTGCTCCAAATAATTTTATCCTTGAAGGAGGCATATACCTATGATGCAGAGGGATGCATCAGGTTAGCACAACTCCATCACAATCCAGCTAACTTGCTAGGATTTCACGATAAGTAATTCCCATTGCCTTAATGTATGAAGTAGCAGCACACAGGAAAAGCAAATGTAAATACTTGACTGACACATAACTGTAGTAAACTAATGTACTGATTTTCAGTTATCATTCTTTTGTCCAGTGGGTTGTCTTGAATCTGTCCCTGAATATACTACCAGCTTGACTTTGCCAGCATTCCACATAGACAAGCAGGCTCTGAAATACATTGTCCCAGCTAAGGAATGATTTCCCTGTGGGCACTTGTTTGGATGGTATATTTGCCATCCAGTGTGACTCCTGAACCTGCAACTGAATCCCTGCCTCTTCCTTCTCTATGTAACTCTCTTTCCATTAGAGAGCACATTTATTTTGCAATAAGTTGAAAGCATTGCTTACCTCTTTTTCCAACATCTTCAAGTCTTTATCATTCTTTTGAGATTCCTTCTATTTACAAGTCAAAAAACAGCAACAGTCAAATTTAAGTGTCACAAATATCATAGCTGAATTTGATTTTTAGTTATCGGAAAGGATGAAGGATTCCCAACAGTTCATTTCTACGTTAAACATTTCCCTGAGTCTATTAAAGATTTTTTAGGTGACTTATCTGGTTAGGGAAGGTAAAGTTTCTTTAGATCTAAAAATATTTCAAGCTTAAAAGTTTTCACCCCAATAGATTAGTTTTGTTTTTCCCTAGGAGGTCCAGTGAAAAGAACATGTAGAACTTTATGAATAAAGCTAGTGACTGTTTTGAATGTTAAACAGCAGTACATTTTGAGTATTTAATTACTCTGTCTCAGAAAGGAAAGAACCTCACAAAGAGAAATCAACTTAAACTTAAATACCCACAAAGGGGGAAAAATGCAAAGAAATCGAGAAAAACTGAAAGAGTACCAGCTCCTATTCTAACCTACTCATTGCCTTTATGTCTAACAGCATTTCTGAGACAATGACCCAAGACAGAATATCTATCTTTTCCATGTAAAATGGAACAAAATGCATAAACATCTTAAATAAAATGTGTTTTATATATTTCTAAGTTGGGGGTGGGGAGAAGGCACGCCAGCCTCATGTTTACTAATTTACCACCTGATAGCATTTTCTATTAAGAAAGGACTATTATTTTGGGGTTTTGTACAAACTTGAAACTTGTTTTTTGTTTTTTAAGAGAGTTTTTGAACTCTATAATTAATTAAAAATTTCAGAACTATGTCTCCGAGAAATTTAAGTCAAGAAATTTATATCAGTTTCCAACAATGTCTATCAGTGCTGCCCAATAGAAATATAATGTAAGCCATATATTTATTTTCAATTTTTCTAGTAGCCCTATGTCAAAAGTAAAATTTCTAATAATATGTTTTACTTATCCCAAAATATCAAAAATATTATTTCAACATGTCATTATATAAAGTTATTAGTGAGATCATTTTTGTTGTTATTCTTCCAGTTCTTCAAAATTGCCTGTGCATTTTCCACTTACAGCCCATCTCAATTCAGGTTCTACATTTTCGTCAGAAATATCTCTTTGTGCTGAGATTTCATAAAACAGACGAGAAAGCAGGACTGCATGCCTAAGCTGTTCTGAAAACATTTCAGAATATGCCAACAACAGTTTTTAAATACAGGCATGTTAATTAAAACTAAATAAATACAAGTCTAAGCTCAACCTATGGCTTTAGCTTCTCAACTCTGAATCTTTCTTCACAATAAAATATCAATTTGTATATCTCTTTAAGAGAGTACAACTTGCTTTTATGAATGAAACAGTCACAGTAGGCTCTCGCACAGGCAATAACATGAAGCTAAAACGAATTTAATCTCCCACCACTCCTGGGCAGTTTCTGAATAGGAAACATCTTTTAGGCATTAGAATGTTTTTTGTTTTTCTTTTGTAGTACTTCCCCTTCTCCCAAAACAAAACAAAACAAAAAACAACTCAAATGATAGTAACTAATAAATCGAAGCATCACATAATTTTTACAAGCTTACTAGGTGTTATAAAATGTATCTAGATATAGGAATGACTGAGTGCAGACCATTTGGGAATTCTGAATGAGGGGCACATTTAAGCACAACAATAAGTAATGGTGTAGGTAGAAGTGTAAAGCTTACTAGAGTCCTAGAGATAGTGTTTCATTAATTTACACATTTATTTATTACCTTAATGCCTACACTCAACCCATTCTAGTCAAATACAATACATTTCAGGAATAATTTCAATGACATAGTTAATAAACCAGATAGAACAGAAGAGCTCCTCACCTTTAATCCCAAAGTCTTAACTTTTCTTGCTGAAGCAGGCAAGGTAGCATTCTTGTCAACAGCAAAATTTTGTTGAGATTCTGCAACAATTGAACCATAGACAAAATGCGATTTCAAAATCTCTTATTCTAATTATTAGTCAATCAACATAATGTTATTCTTCTGTTGACTTTACGATTACAAATAATTAGTTGCACAATATTTTCTACATATGTACCATTTTCCCAGCTTTCCAATGCTCTCTGACAGAAGGCTAATGTAATTACACCCAAAGGTAAACTACATCTATGTAGTTCACACATATATCTATGTAAGTGTCTCGTGTAATAATCAAAGCATTATTTTGTACTTGACCCTTTCATAAATCAATCAAATAAGAAAATCTAAATATAGAAGTAGTTTCACATTTTTAGAAATACTATACAATCTTTAAATGTGTCACTGTTATTCGTAGCTTTCAAACTTATGAGATCCTATAACCATTTTTTAATTTTGGGATTCGTTACCTTTCTGTTTTTTAAATCGCTGTGATTTCTGAAAGGATACTGGCCCTTTCAACGCCTCGGAAGTTTTCACGTCATAAGCACCTGGAGATGGCGCACAACCTGGAGGAAACATAAAACATTCACATCTCATTTAATGTTACTCACGATGCCAAAGTAAAGGGAGTAATACAAGTGCAAAAATGCCATTAATAAATGCCTTGTGTTTTCAAATGTAAGAATAGCACCCATTTGATAGGAGGAAAAATATCATCTTCCCAAAGTCACTTTATTTCAATTGGGTCAAAGAACATGGGCAACTGGGCAAAATAGCAGTCAGTCTTGGGATGCACATCCTGTAAGAACAAGTGACAGGGCTTTCTTAGTAAGAATTGACTATAAGAAATAACATGCTTGCGATCTACTCAGAGTCACTGAGGTCAACCACCACCAGATTCTAGAAATGAAGCAAGTAAAAGTGTCTAGCCCTCAAGACTGAGCCTGGAAAATTTATAGTGGTGATCCATCCCTGGTTAATTCCAATATATCAGAAAATTTATAAAGTCATAGACTATATATCAGCACTCCAGAAATTTATATTGTATAGCCTCATGTGAATAACTGGAGCCCTAAAATGAAGGCATTTCAGAATGCTTATGCATAGCAAAGGTAAGATCTGCCTCTCAGGACTGACAATAATAAAAATGCCATTGGCATAAAGCTTTAGCTGATTGGGAATCAATAGTAATACTATTCTCTGAAAAGCTATTTACTTCAGTCCAGACTATCATGCAAATACATAGGAATAGCAAGGAGTTTGACCATTCCAAGGCAAGTCCAACTGTCCCCTAGTGTTTTTCAAATGGGATAGAGGCTCATTATTATAACTTCACCAGCATTTAAAAAAAATAGTGAAACAGCCCTGGCTGGTGCAGCTCAGTGGATTGAGCGCGGGCCTGCGAACCAAAGGATCACAGTTTGATTCCCAGTCAGGGCACATGCCTGGGTTGCAGGCTAGTTCTCAGCAAGGGGCACTCGAGAGGCAACCATACATTGATATTCCTCTCCTCCTTCCCTTCCTCTCTAAAGATAAATAAATAAATAAATCTTAAAAAAATGAAAACAGTGAAACAATAGAAAATATCAGTGTGACTCACATGTAGCAAATTTAAGCACTGTTTTGTGGTATTTTTGCTTCCGTTTTGTGTAGAAATACAAAAATATATCCCACACAGAAATACATAATTTATTTCTCACCCTGGGACAAAAACATTTAAAGTCAATTGCTTTCAATTCTAAGTAGGCCATAAAAACATCAAGGACAGAATGAAGTTTGCATTCCTCTACCTGGAACAATGATCATTTATATATACTGACATAAAGATTCCAATCCCAGGAGCTGTCAGATCTAAATGCAGTGGGTTTCCAGTCAGGAGAGAGAATTAAAATGAAGTGCAAAATTCACTGGGATATCATCTAAGGTAAAGGCAGGCTCAGCAAAAGGCACCCACCTTAGCTAGCTCATATCTCTCACACCCCACAACTGCTAACCCCATGTAGTTAATGGCAGGGTGACGGGGGTTTCCCTAAAATCAGATTAAAAGTGGCACATCTTAGAGCAGGTATTTCACTCACTTGGAATAGGGGTGGGAACTTCAGTGGGGAACGCATATTTTAAAGCAAACAGCAGACTCCAAAGGAAACTGCCACTGCTATTGTAGACAATGCCCCTTGGGGGAAAGTAGGGATGAAGTGACGGTTATCTTTTGCTTATTGTTTTTAGGGACCCTTTTGTGAAAAAGTGTGAGAAGCACTGCTCTAGACTTGGCAGAACAGCCCGGAAAAAAAGTGATGCTGAATTCTAGTGTTCTAGTTCATCACTGGGTGTACACTCTCAAAGGGGGTAAGGGCCAGTAAAAGGAGGGCTGGTGGGTGGTTAACTGAAGCAGAATCATGCAAGCTGAGAACAATTAAAACCATATTTTAAAACCCTTCCCTAAACACTGAAGAGTCAAACTTGAGAGTTATGGGTACTTAGATTTAAAAAAGAACCAGGCTGCATCTCTTTGTGAGACTGGGCACATGGTGATTTCACGCTATAAGTCTTTTCCTACTGACACTCAAATGTGCTACTTCGTAGATATGGTCTGTTAGAAATCTGGGGAGAGGGAACATCAGACCAAAGGTGATAACTCGGGAGATACCACAAGCTTTCTGGAACAACCTGTACATTGATCAACAATAATGGGAAGCTGACACAGGCAGCCAATACTTGTATGCAAACATTTTATGCTTTATATTAAATATATGCTTCAAACTTCCAGAACTGTTTTAATTTCTGTTTTTTCCACCTTGAATGGCTAGTCCACCTTTCACTTTGCCTGGCTAACTCTCACTTACCCTTCGGATCTAAGTCTGATGTCACCTCTTCCGGTTTCCTCTGAATTCTCCAGTCAGGCTAGAAGGCCCACATTAGCAGCGTGTGTGTATCTTTCCTATCATAGACCTTGTCGGTTTTGTAAAGGCTCATAATAGGGTACTTATCCACTTCCCACATTAGACAATGTACTTGTTCATCACCCACACTGGACAAATGGCTGAGAGGTAGGGACTGTCTTAATCACGACTGTGTCCCCGGTATTTAGCTCAGGGTTGAGGTTAGCAGTGTTGGTGAAGAAAACACAGAAAGACATTAGGGATGTGGCAAAGGGAATGGGGTTTGGTAATCAGCCAGGTTAGGGCTCAAATCCAGGTTTGTCTGTCCTGAAATAGACATTACTGTGTGTCAGGTACTGTGTAGTCATTGGAAGAAGTCGGTGAATAACAACATTTCCATGTTGTCTGACAGAGAGTGAAGACATAACAAGAGACCATTAAATGTGTACATTACGATGGATAAATCATGGATCAGCTACTTACTGATCACTTACAGGCTACTCAATAGTAACAAACCGTTTCCTCATCTGTAAAATAAGGACAATATCAGTACCATCCTCATTTGGCTGTTGGGAAAAAAAAAAAGCACAACCAGATCTAGTTGTAAAAACCTTAGCACAATCCCTGCATACAGTTAGCCTCTAATAAACGAGTGTCTTACTAACCACATCCAAGGCTTCCTGGGTATCATGTTTACGCCCTGTAGCGGTTAAGATCATGGGATGGACTGCAGAAAGGCCCGGTTTCATGCATTAGTTTTGCCAGTTTGGTTGTGTAACACTAAGGAAATCTAAGTCTTGGTCATTTTATCAGTAAAATAACGCATACTATTTAGGATTACCTCTCCAGGATGTTGGGAAACACACCTAAAAATCTCTGTGATGATGTAGCAGGCTGCTTGGGGCACCGTCCATAGTAGCTGCCATAGCTTCACTGATAGTGATTTCGATACTGCCATAATTTTACAACCACAAGCTGACTTTACCGACCTTCTTTCTTTCGTGCCTGAATGTAATATCTAAAAGGAAATCCACAAATCCAGACAAAAAGCACGCTCAAGGGTTTCTTTTTTTTTAATCAACAAGGCCTTTCGCACCTGACCATCGACTAGTTACAGGGCTTCCTCACCTTCATTCCTGCTCTCTGCTCGTGTCTACCCAGCACCGTTTATGGGCTGCATTCTCCAACTGAATGGAAGCTGTAAGTGACAGGGGCTTTGCTTCTGTCACTGCTGTATCCGTATCATCCTAAATAGTGGTTGGCATATAGTAAATGCATAGTACATGTTTCAAAAACAAGAAGTCAATTGAACGAGCCCCGTCTCAGCCCTAAAACCGCTATTTCGCTCTCATAGAATCGAAAGGGGCAAGGAGCGTGACAGCAACTCCCGTCCCTCAGTTCCGTCCCCCGTACGCACCAGAAGGGTCATTGAATCGTTTCAGGGGCGCCTTAGGAAAGGACATGCTGACGACCAGCTCCACAAACCGAAGGGTACCAGCGCTCCTCGGCAACTTCCTGGTGCCGCTTTTGGAATTTACCGACTTCAAATTCAAATCTCCCAGCTCATTCCCCGCCCACCTAGACATTAACCAATTGAAAAACCAAAACCCTGGATATACCAATCCAAGAAAGGAACATCCAAGAGCATGCGCACTAAGCTCTCGCCGCGTCCAATTAGGTGGCTTGTGAGTTCAACTGGGACGTACCCAGTCATTCCAGGCGTCACTTAATTGTAACCTACGCACTTGTAGCAATTGCGCAAGCGCACTTCGAATCTGAGAATGTTGGATGTTGGCTTGTGGCGTCATTCAGATGGGGATGCAGTGAGTTCCAGCCTAGTTGATTCCAACCCTCTCCCACCCTTTCTTGGATGTAAACTTTTCTGGATGTCAGTTATTTTGAACTGGGTTCTGCCAGTGTCCTAAACAGCCAATGAGAGGGAAACTCAAATACTGAGACCTCAACTTACATTCCTGCGCATGAGTGGTGACCCGAGCGGAGAGGCCTGGGCGTGGCCTGAGCGTGGACAGTCAGCGCACGCGCTCATCTAGCTCACTGCAGCTGCAGCCCGGAGGCACCTAGATTATGTCGGCCCCGTTTGAGGAGCGCAGTGGGGTGGTTCCATGCGGGACACCGTGGGGCCAGTGGTACCAGACCTTGGAGGAGGTGTTCATTGAAGTTCAGGTGCCCCCAGGCACTCGCGCCCAGGATATCCGGTGTGATCTGCAGAGCCGGCACGTGTCCCTGGCGGTGGGTGGCCGCGAGATCCTCAAGGTAGCGGCAGGTCGGGACTTGCGCCTCCCCCAAATTCCCAAATCCTACGGTTTCCGTAGAACGACTGTTGGAAGGCCGTTGGGTTTTTCTGGCTGGCCGGAAGAGCGATAAAATTGGCCTGATTTTGGTCTGATCCCAGTCCCCAACTCCGGGGCCAGTCCTGAGTTGACGTGGAAACTTGAGCCCATTTTTCCGACTTTATTACCCAAATGAAGCTCCGTCTGTTGTGCCTCTGCGGGTCTTCAGTTGACAACCCTGTAACTAGGTCGTTAGAGAAACAAGTATTTATATTCCATACACAGTGCTCCAGGCACCGCCCTAAGTGCTGGGAGAACAGCGTCGAACAAGACAAACAGGGATTCCAAACATGAGTTACGGCAAGCAGGGAGGCACAAAAAGCTAAAATAATAGGCAGTTTCAGGGAAGCAAGAAAATAAGTCAGGGGTAAGGATGACGGGATGAGGGTTCAGGAATGATGTCAGGTGATTTTTCGAGGTACACCTAATATCGAATACCGATAGTATCGATGTCAGGTAATTTCTTATCGAAAAATTAAAAAAATTCTGCATGTTTCTGGTTAAGAAGATGGTCAAGAGGTGTGTGGAGGAAATAATACCCGGTTTATTCTCTCCAGCGCCCTTTGGGTGTGGGGTCCACTTTTGCCTTGTTAAGCTTTATAGTTAAATTCAGTTAAGTCGGAAGTACATTCCTTTCTGATTTCATACCCAAGATGTTTGATGGCATGGTGAAAACTATTTGGAAGGTTACCTGGTTTTGCCGTTAGTTTTGTAATCTTGGGCAGGAAATTTTTCAGTGACTTCAAAAAAACGTTCATCCAAAAAGTTCGGTAATTATGGAACCATTTTTGTAGGACTGCTTTGAGCATGACATAGTATCCGTGTGAAAAAAGCCTGGAGTAGTTTCTGATTTGTAGTAAGCACACAGCACAAGTTAGCTATTAGTATTTTCTATGGAAGTGCTTTGAGTGCCTTTGAGAAAAGGAAGATTCATGTGATTGACTTCCATCAGTGTGGATCTAAATAACCTGAATATTTGTGTAGTTGATAGTTTTTTCAACAGCGGTCTAGGGTTACTGTTCAAATTATCTTAGTAATTCCAAAAACTTGGGAATTGAGCGATAATTCTTAGCTCTAGGATATTAGGTGTCCATTTACATTAATAGGATTTTTTTCCCACAAGTATTGACATGAGAAAAAAATGTATCGTTTTTTAACATGATATTTTCTAAAAAATTTGGCAAGCAGCACATTGAAACAGGTTTCAGCAGATGCATTCAGTTGAATTGATATTTTGCTTCCTTTTAAAAAGAAGTTTCTGAAAAAAAGTAGAAACAACTAATCATATGTCATCTATAGTATGTGCTAAAATGATTTTTCAATGCTAAATTGTCCAACAAAGAGATTGAACCAGTTTTTAATGTTTATTTTAAATGTTTCTTATTGATTTCATCAGGAGAGCTCCTGTAATTTATTTTAATTGATAAAACATTTCAGATATAAATTTTGTATTTGGCTAATCAGTGATCAGTAGTATCGCTTCATTTTATAAAACCTAAGGAGTTTTATAAAGAAAGGATCTTTCTTTAGAGAACCCTGCATTCTCTGTCAAAGGAGACACTCCAGGCAGTGAAAAGTAAGTTCCCTTCCACTCGTTAGCAGGAAACTTAGGGATGAGCACTTATCCATGGGTTGAAATGGTATAAAACTTGATCTCCGTGTTCTATCCTAATTAGACAATTATACGTGGATTAGATAGGAAATTAGGTATGTCTTAAATCATTAAGGCTTTATGAAGTTAATGAAGTTTCTATATTTTTAGTACTTTGTATGTTTATTTTTCAGGGCAAGCTCTTTGATTCTACAATAGCTGATGAGGGAACGTGGACTTTGGGTAAGGGTAATCTGTTACAAGTCTTAGAGTCTAACAATTTTGTCTTGGAACTTAGTATGTTTTCACTGTTTTAGGTGCTTTGTTTTTGCAGCTTTGGAAGATACAGTAATAGAAATGTGTTAACAATTTTATGGCAAGATTACCTGATGGTTTTTGAAAATGTATAATTTAATAAATGAACTCCAATTTCTTTGTGGTTTTTGTTTGTTTAGAGGATAGAAAGATGGTTCGTATTGTACTTACAAAGACAAAGAGAGAGGCAGCAAATTGTTGGACTTCTCTTCTAGAATCTGAATATGCAGCTGATCCTTGGGTGCAAGACCAAATGCAAAGAAAGCTTACATTAGAGAGATTCCAGAAAGAAGTAAGTCGGATAACTGTATGATATGTGTCATTAAACATCTTAAAGACATAGAAATATTTTTTGAAACCAGAACTCATGAGGCTATAAAAATGACAAAAGTTCTGTAGAAGAATTAAAAAAAAATAAATGACTGGAAAAATGACTGGCCTTTTTGGGTATGGATTTGATTTTTTAACAGAGTTTCTTGAGAATTTATATTATGATTTCTAAGTTTCAGTTCATTTACTGTAAATCAGTAATGTATGAATAAATTCATAAAAACTCAATCAGTATAGACTTCCATAGTGTGAAAAAGTGAAGGGGTCCTTCACCAACATCTCTGCATTCCATGCCTCTGGCTAAATGTCCTGTTATCATTATACTGGCTTGTTTTGTTTTTAACATGAATGGAGAATCATGCTGTGTATATTGGTCAGGTTTCTTTTTTAATACTACGTTTTGAGTCTCTTTCCTTCTTAGTGCACATAGATAAAGCTTATTTCTTTACTGCTTCAGGGTGTTTTCTAGTCTGAATGTATTGTAATATTTAGGTATTCCCATTTGATAAGATTTAGATTTCCCCATTTATGTCTGCTAGTTCGAACAAATTTTGTGCTTTCATTTCTGTAAAGCTCTTCAGATATTCCTTTAAGATATCTAGGAGAAGAATTACTGCATTAAAGCACTATTAAAAGTTCTCACGGATAATTTCCATCTACATAGTGTTTTCCACATGTGTATCTCTAGCCTAGACTTTGCTCCCAAATTTTGGACTCGCGTATCCAATTGCCTATTCAACATCTCCACTTCGCTAACAAACATATGAAACTTAACACGTCCAGCATGAAGTTCTTAACTTCCCTCCCGCATTTGTTCTACGTCTAGCCTCCTCATCTTCATTGATGGCCACAGGTTGTTCAAATGAAAAGAAAATTACAGAATCATACTCCGTTCCTGTCTGTCTCTTACACCCTCTCCATTTTGTCAGGAAGCCTTGCTGGTACTGCCACCACCACTCTGGTGTCCTCTCCTGTCTTGTGTGGGTGACTTCAGTGACCTAATTGTTCTCCCCACTTATCCCTTTGCCAGGCTGCGTCCTCTGAAGATAGGAGTGGCGCAGTGAGAGCAGTCCTTTTGCAGTGCAAGGCAGATGACATCACTTCTCTCCTTAGAACTCTTGCACAGTAGTACACGACAAGGGCTCTCACGAGGCTCAGTCTGGTCCGGCCTTCCTGATCCTCCGGACCTCCTCCTCTCCTACTAGTGGCTCCCTGGGTCATTCTGCCCTAGCCTGCAGGCCTTTTTGCTCTCCCTTAAACACGTCAGGCCATTCCTTTTGTGTTCTTTTGACTGCAGTGCTCTTTTCCCAAAGCTTGCCTAACTTCACTTGCTTTCAAGTCATTCCTTGGTGAGCATTCTTTGAGTCTTGATCATCTTATTTAAATACCACAAACTCTTCATTTTCCTTATTGTGCCCTACTTCTTTAATTTTTTCCTATAGCACTTAACTTTTAACATACCACACACCGACTTTTAATACACTAGACAGTGGCCTGCAAACATACCCCATAGGTCAGATTCAGCCCACTGGCTATTTTTGAAGTAAAGTGTTTTGGAACCCTGCTATGCTCATGTATTTGTGTGTTGTCTTCCATAGTAGCCACAACAGAATTGAGCAGTTATGACAGACCATGTAGTCTTCAAAGCCTAACATATTTACTGCCTGGCTCCTGTTAGGAAAGTTTTGTGACTCCTGCACTAGCTAACCTAATGGTTTATTATTTGTCTCCTGTTCCAGCGTAAGCTCCACAGAAGCAGGGATCTTTGTTTACTCTTGAATTATACACGCCACACTCTTAAATTACACAGTAGATTAATGGTGTCTTCCAAACCATAGGAACTCAATAAATATTTGTGGAATAAATGAAATGCCCTGTCAGAGCACTAAAGCCTGAGGTAATGCTTACTTAGGATTGTTATAGGAATTAACTCTGTTAATGTATGTGTAGCTTTCAAACCCTGCCTGGCATATAGTAAGGCCTCAGAAGTGCTAGCTATTAAAGTCTGTCTACGCTGATACTAACGGATGTGTTTGTCCATACGCTTGTCAGCTTTGAAACACATACATGGAATCTTCTAAATATTTGTAAGTCTGAAAGGTGAAAAATACCTTATAGTTTCAAGTTCTATTTGGTGGTTACAGTGAACTTTGGTATATTTTTATATGTTTTTTGCCATTTAGATTTCCTTCTTTTGTTACTTGCCAGTTCATATCTTTCTACCATTTTCCTTTTGGTTTACTTATATTTTTCCTTATAAGTTTTATCATAAATTTTTTCATGTCTTTTAGAATCCCGGTTTTGACTTCAGTGGAGCAGAAATCTCAGGGAACTACACGAAAGGTGGACCAGATTTCTCAAATCTTGAGAAGTAACTGCCGCTGTTCCGCTGCCTTCTGTGGACTCCGGCAGATGTTGCCAGTTGGTCAGAGGGACAGACTGTGTGGGGGAAGGAACATGTGGGTGCCTACAGTTAACTCACTGCAAAATATATTTAAATACGGTTCTAAAAATTGCATTCAAATATGACTTAACATAGGAAACTTTAAATTCTGTGGGGAATATTCTATTGATATATGGTAACCTTTTTTGGACTTGTTTTTGCTCAGCATGAAGTTTCAAATGCTGCATTTTGCTAGTTTCATATTTAATCTATATTTTTAATACAAAAACAGGTTACAGATCATATGAAATGACAGGTTGCCTTCAGGGAAAATTAAGTTTTTTCTTTTAATAAGTGTAATAAACTTTTCTAAATAGGAATTGTGTACCTCTTTGTCTAAGTATACCAGTTCATACAAGGAAATTATATTACTGAAAAGAATTTTAGAAAAGGAAAAAAATCTACAAATCTATTCAGAGTAAGTTCATTTTAACAGTTAATGAAAATCTCAATTAGTATATTATTTCTTGAGAGGTCACTTTATGTCAAGAAATTAAACAGTTAACTGACAAAAGATTGGGTGGGGTGAATATGGTTATTGGGCAAGTGCATTATGAGGGACAAAAACCAAATTACGGTCCATGATCATAAATAGGTGACATCATTTTGGTATTAGTGGTCCAGACATAGAAGTAAGAATTGTCTTTGCATTTTCTTTTATCCATTTTATCTCCTTTTTAATTTAAAAATAAATTTTAATCTCAAACGTACAGAAAAGTTAGAAGATGCAGAGTTTTGTTTTGTTTTTTAATTTTCCTGAACCATTTGTGTATGAGTCGATGATGTGATGTCCAGTGATCTCTGTGTACCTCAGCTTGTATTTCCTTGGAAGGAAATGCTCTTTCCTACATGTAACTACATGCGACTACATGTAACTACAATACAACCATTCAAATAAAGAAACAAGCACTGACACATTATGACCAGAGAGTCCTCAAACCTTCACTCCGTCAAGGTCAGTTGTCCCAATAAAGTCTTTTACACCAGGAGGACGCAGTCAGAACCATGCCTTCACTCTAGTTGCCGCCTGTCTTCAGTCTGCTGAAATCTGGGACAGGTCCTCATTTTTCCTTGACTTTTATGTACGGCCTCGGCAAATGCCAAGGTTTCAGGCTATTTTTTTTTTTTTTTAGCAGCATTTCTCATTTTGAATTTTGTCTGGTATTTCATTATTAGAGTCAGGTTTTGCATCTGTGGCAGGAATACTAAAGGAGTGATGCTGTATCCTTACTGTGTAGTATCCTGAGTTAAGAATGTCACTTTGTTCTTTTTCTGATGGTGATTACTTAAGTGGTGTCTGCCAGTCTTCGTTGTAAATCTATTCTTTACGTTTATAATTAAGCACTTTGTGGAAAGTAGTTTCAAAATACTACCTTGGTTTTCATCGCACTTTCATTTTATTGCATCTTTATAGAGTCATAATTTTCTACTTTATTCAGTGGGTTAAAATCTGTTACTCCTATTACTTTAATGCTCAACATTTTTTCTAGATTTGGTTTGTGTGAGACCATTCTAGGAGTCTTCTATGTCCTTTTGACACGTCCCCATCATAATTTGAGCAATATCTTATTCTGTCACACGGTGTACCAGGCTTATTATGCTTTTCCTGCCCTAGCTCAAGAATCAGCAGTTTTTCCAAGGTATCTGGTTCTTAGCAGAGAATGGTTTTTCAAGGTCAAAGTCTTTGTGCCAGTCAGCAGTTGTTGTTGATGTGTATATAGTGCATACATTTACCTCTGTCTATGTGTCAAAAACCGTGAGTTCACTCTTAAACTTGCATTTCTAATCTCATGGGGTCATTTTTGTTTTCTTTCTATATAATGCCTTTGAACACTCAGTGGATTCTGTGATTCTTCATACATTGGGCTCCCTATTCTAGGCCACGACCCCATGAGTAAATGCCTCCCTCTGTTTGGGCTCCAGCACCCTATGCCAAGCAGTGATATTCTCACCTCTTTGGACTCTAACCCCCCACTCTGGGCCACTTCAGCTCAGCTGAACTCTTTGGCAAGATCTGTGTCTCGTTCAGATTACCCATTAACTTCAGGAATGAATGGTTGGGAAAGGCGTTTTTTCTTTTGATTGGCTTCTCATTCTGACATTAAAAAAACTGTATATTTTGAATTGACATCCGGTAAAATAAACTCTTTTTGTTTGTAGTTTAATATGTCGAGAGAGATGTTTCCTCGAAAATCAGGAGATTGAACAGTTCAATTCCAAAATTACTTCATGTAAGATTTGTCTTTTTGAGGAGTTTATATAAATGGAATCATGAGTAATCTTTTTCAAAAACAATTGTGTTGAGATATAATTCACATACTACGTACACTTTACCCTTTTAAAGTGTATAGTTCAGTGGTTTTTAGTATAGTCCCATATTTAACCCTCACCATGGTCAATTTTCATTTTCCTATCTCATAAGTAACCCCATACTTTAGCTATTATCCTCACCCCAATTTCTGCCCCAAGTACCCACTAATTCACTTTCCATCTCATATATTTCCATGTTCTGGACTTCTATATGTGAAATCATAATACGTGGTCTTTGGCTTATGGTTGCTTTCACACAGCATAATGTCTTTAGAGGGTTTTTTCCATGTTATACGCCAGCATGTTATTTTTTTGTATGTACTACCACACCTGGATTATCCATTTGTCAGTTGGTGGATATTTGGGAGGTTTCTATGTTTTTTGGCTGTTGTGAGTAATGCTGTCTATGAACATTCAAGTACAAGTTTTTATATGCAGGTATATTTTTGCTTCTTAATAGGAGTCAATTTTCAAGTTATGTGGAAACTTTATGGCTAATACTTTGAGGAACTGATGGGTTGTTCAGTGTGGCTGCACCATTTTAGTTCCCACCAGCAGTATGTGGGAGTTCCAGCTTCTCCACGTCTTTGTCAACACTTGTTATGTGACTTCTGATTCCAGCTGTATCACGGGTGTGAAGTGCTACCATACTATGGTTTCACTGGACTGGACTTCCTTGGCTAATTATGATGAGCATCTTCTTATTTACCATTCGTGTTATCTTCTTTGGGGAAATGTTTATTCAGATCCTCCCCACTTTTAAGTTGGGTTATCTGTTTTTAAATTGAATTTTAAGAGGTTTTTAAAAACATATTCTGGATACAAGTCCCTGATCAGAAATGAGATTTACATTATTTTAGTTTTTTTAAAAAAATTATTATCAATGTGTGGTTGCCTCTTGTGTGTCCCCTACTGGGGACCTGGCCTGCAACCCAGGCATGTGCCCTGACTGGGAATCAAACCATGATCCTTTGCTTCACAGGCACGTGCTCAATCCACTGAGCTACACCAGCCAGGACTGGTTTTTTTTTTTGTTTGTTTGTTTAACTTTCTTGATGGTGTCTTTTGAAGTGTGAATGCTTTCAGTTTTGATGGAGTCCAGTTCATCATACTTTTGGTGTTAATGTCTAAAAACACTGCATAATCTCAGGTTATAAGGATTTATTCCAATGTTTTCTTCTAAAAGAATCCTAATTTTGTTTTACATTTAGATTTGTAACCTACTTTACGTTATTTTTTGCATAAGCTGTGAAATATAGGGGGTTCATTTTTTGCATGTGGGTGTCCATTTATTTCTATGTCATTTGTTGAAATGACCATTCTCCATTAAATTGTTTCTGCCCTTTTGTCAAAACTCAGTTGTTATTAATGTGGGTCTTTTGGTCTCCGTTCTGTCCCATCAATCTCTGTGTCCCTTTGCCACTTTGCCAGAACCACACTGCCTTGACAATTACAGCTTTGTAATAAGTCAGAATTGGGTAGTGTGATTCCTTCCACATGTCTTTTTTGAAAGTGTTCTGGCTATTTTAAATTTCTTTGCCTTTCTATACAAAGTTTCCAATCAGTCCATGTCTGTTGTGCAGAAGGTTCTTACATTTATTTTTAATGTTCATTTCCTGGAGCTGTTGTAAATGATTATTTTTTGAAATTTCAGTTTCTGATTACACACTGCTAGTGCGTAGAAATATGTTCGATTTTTGTTTGTTGACCTTGTATCCTGTGATCTTGTTAAACTCGTTAGTGGTAGGAAGTTTTGTTGTTTATCCCTTGGGATTTTCTGCATAAACCACAAATGAGAACATGTGATTTTGTCTGTTTTAGTCTATAGACCAGACTAGACTATGCTCTAGTCTTTTATTTCCTTTTCTTGCTTCGTTGGACTTGTGAGAATAGAAGAGGTGAAAGCGGCCATCCTTTCTTGTTCTGGATGCTAGTTTCTAGAGCATTAAATCTTTGACCATTAAGTGTTGTGTAAGCTACAGGTTTTTATAGATGATCAGTATCAGGTTGAGGAAGTTCTCATCGATTCTTACTTAGCAGAAATTTTTCTCATGAATGGATTTGAATATTCTCAAAATTCTTTTTTGGTATCGAGTGATATACTTGTATGCTTTTTTTTTTTTTAAAGATTTTATTTATCTTCAGAGGGGAAGGGAAGGAGAGAGGGAGAGAAATATCAATGTATGGTTGCTTCTCGTAGGTCCCCTGCTGGGACCTAGCCTGCAACCCAGGCATGTGCCCTGACTGGGAATCAAATGGCAATCCTGTGGTTCACAGGCCCGTGCTCAATCCACTGAGCTACACCAGCCAGGGCTAATCATATGTTTTTAAAGAATGTTCTATTGATTATACTATTACAGTTGTCCCAATTTTTTCCCTTTGTCCCCCTCCACTCAGCACCCCCACCCCCTCAGGCCATCCCTAGAACTTTGTTCATAACCTGGATCATGCATATAAGTTCTTTGGCTACTCCATTCCTTATACTGTACTTTTTATACCCGTGGCTATTCTGTAACTACCTATTTGTACTTCTTAATCCCCTCACCTCTTCACCCATTCCCCACACTCCCCTCCTATTTGGCAACCATCAAAATAGTCTCCATTGCCCTGGCTGGTGTAGCTCAGTGGATTGAGTGCGGGCCTGCGAACCACATGATCGCGGTTCAATTCCCAGTCGGGGCACATGTCTGGGTTGCAGGCCTGTTCCCAGTGGGGGACTCATGAGAGGCAACCATACATTGATGTTTCCTTCTTCCCTTCCCCGCTAAAGATAAATAAATAAAATCTTAAAAAAAATGTTCTCCAGGCCCTGGCTGGTGTAGCTCAGTGGATTGAGCTCGGGCCTGCGAACCAGACAATCGCGGTTCGATTCCCAGTCAGGGCACATGCCTGGGTTGCAGGCCGGTTCCCTGCAGGCCAGTTCCCAGCAGGGGACACACAAAATGCAACCATACATTGATGTTTCTCTCCCTCTCTCCTTCCCTTCCCTTCTAAAGATAAATAAATAAAATCTTAAAAAAAAAAAAAATGTTCTCCATATCCATAATTCTGTGTCAATTCGTTTGCTTACTTTGTTTTTTAGGTTTAGTTGTTGATGGATATGTACTTATTGCCATATTATTGTTCATAATTTTGATCTTAAAAAAAGTCCCTTTAACATTTCATAAAATAATAGTTTGGTGATGATGAACTCCTTTAGCTTTTTCTTGTCCAGGAAGCTGTTTATCTGCCCTTTGATTCTAAATGATAGCTTTGCTGGGTAGAGCAATATTGGCTGTAGGTCCCTGATTTTCATCACTTTGAATATTTTTGGCCAATCCCTTCTAGCCTGCAAAGTTTCTTTTCAGAAATCAGCTGACAATCTTATCTTTAGACTGATAATTTGGAAGATTATATTGATTGACTTTTAAATTTTGAACTAGCTTGTATCTTACCCCCTCTCAAAATTGATCATAGAATATTATTTTGCTTATATACCTGAATTTGTTGAGGATTTTTGTGTCTGTTCATTTGGGATATTAGCTCATAGTTTTTCATTGTTGTTTTTTTCATTTTATCTTGGTTTGGTATTGGGGTAATGCTGGCCTTAAAAATGAGTTGGAAGTGATTCTACTTTCTGGAACAGATTTGTAGAATTTAAGTCTTTTAAAAATGTTTTATGGGATTTGTCAGTAAGATTTTAAACAATGGGTCAACTTTAAAAAATAATTACAGAACTTACTCAGGCTCTCTAGTTTATTTTAGCTAAGTTTTCTCATCCGTGGCTTTCCAGGAGCTGATTCATCTCATCTAACTACAGCAGAGGGTTGTTACTGCCCCATTGCCTGAGTCCTTTTAGTGTTTTTTTGGTCTATAGCAGAATCTCTTTCATTCCTAATATTAGCCATTTTTGTCACTCTTTCTAGAGGTTTATCAATCGTATTGCTCTTTTTATAGAACTATATAGTTTTAGTTTTCTTGATTTTTCATGTTATTTTGTTTTAGTTCATTGTATTTTTTTACCCCTCCTTTTTATTTTTATGACTTTTTTCCCTTCTGTTTGCTTTGGTTTTATTTTGCCCTTTTTGTAGTTTCTTAAAATGGAAGTTTAGTTACTGATTTGAGACCTTTTTTGTCTTAATAAAAGCAGTTACTACTATCCACTGGTTTAGCTTCGTTCCACACATTTTGCTATTTCCATTTTCATTGAGTTCAAAATATTTAATTTTCTTGGGACTTCCCTTTAGAGACATGAACTGTTTAGAAGTCTGTTGTTTAATTTCCAAGTGTTTGGGGATTTTGCTCTTATTTGTTACTGACTTCTAGTTTATGGTCAGAGAGCTTGCTTGTATGATTTAAGTTGTTTCTTTAAAAAAATTAAAAAAAAATTTATTCCTTTATTCTTAGAAATCGGGGACAGGAAGGAGAAAGGAAGGGAGAGAAACGCTGATGGGCAAGAGAAGCATTGATTGGTTGCCTTTCCTATGCACCTGGACTGGGGAGCAAACCGGCGTCCCAGGCATGTGCCCTGACTGGGCGGGGGGATCAAACTGACAGCCTTTTGTTTTGTGGACAGTGTCCAGCCAACTGAGCCACACTGGTCAGGGCAAGTTCTTTTACATTTTATTTTATGACCCAGGATATGGTCTCTGTTGTTGAGAGTTCCACGTGCACTTGAAAAGAATACGTGTTCTGCAGTTTTAGGGTGAAGTTTTTATGTCAAGTAGATCCAGTTTGTTGTCAGTATCATCCAGTTCTTCCAAGTCCTTGCAGATTTTCTGGTCATGGTTCTGTAGATTACGTAGAGGCCTGTTTAAGTCTCCGGCTGTAACTGAAGCTTTGTCCACCTTTCCTTTCACTGCTGTATTTTCAAGCTCTGATGTTAGGTGCACACTTATGTAGGAGTTTCATGTCCTCTTGGTGACTTGCTTATTATATCATCACTTATTGTTCCTCTTTATTATACCAGGCCATCTGATTGCTTCTAAATCTACTTTGTTGAATATTTAAAAGTTGACTTTTAATTCTTACTTATGTTTACTGTTTTTAGTTTATGAAAAATTACAGGTTTCACAGAGTAAGCAATAACGTATTTTATAAAAATTACTTTTAGTATCAAATAGGGAATATGAATCGAGTGTTGATCCTCATGGTGGCACTAATTAATATGGTCAGACTGTGTCATATATATATAATGTGGTTAGTTTGATTGGATGGAAATTATAGTTTCATGAGTCCGTTTAACCTTTTTTGGGAGGTCATGTTCACAGTCTTTTGGGCAGAACTGCATGGGTTTGATGTGACCTTGAGCTATCACTTCTCTTTTCTGTGGCTCTAGGTCATTTGTAAACCGGGTTAACCTCATACCCTTTGGAGGATTATATCAGATGATTCATGTAAAATATCTAACAATAGTACCTGATAGTAGAAGCTTCACTGCTAACCACAAGTATATCAGAGATGTCTATTTTTTAGATAGTGTGTTGCATAAATGGAAATACAAATAAGGTTTAGGTACCTTTTTAAAAATAACACTTGTGAAAGAGGGCTTATTAAATATCTAATCTGAGTTAAGGGCAGAAGGAAACTAAATTTTTCTTCATTGGTAATTCTTTGCAGAGTGGACACTGCAAAGAATTTAATTAAGCGTGAACAGTTCGAAATTGTGTGTTGTTTTAGTTCAATAACCAGTTGATCTAAACAAATTAACACAATACTTGCACATTACCCATTGTTACCAACCACTATCTGGAATGCCGTTTAATTAGGTGAGGGGTGTGAACAGAACTTCGGGTGGGCCGGATCTAAGGGGAAGCGGCAGTAAGGTTGCCCATTAGTAGTGAGTCTTAAGTGGTAACCACAGTGCATAAGGGTCAATTTTAAGTGCATATTGAGCCTGTTGGTCATCATGTGCCTATTTAAAAAACCATTAGAGTAACAGCCATAGTATTGAAGAGGTTTTTTTTCTGCTAGCATGCATCTTACTTTAGTGCTAAACTGAAACTAATGCAGTAGAGATAGGTTTTTATTGTGGTTCTGCCGTCACGCTGACAAAGTGGTTTGTTGAATCAGTAGAGAAACAGAAAACTACCCAGCACAGAAATGCAATTCAATTACTTTATTAAAATGTATATCCTTTAGTACCAAAACATAATGGTAGTTGGTTAGGTTCCCTCTGCCAACTCAAAATTAGCACAGATGTGATCAAAATATTGAAATGTATCAGCCTTTTGGGAAAACTGAGGTTATCCACAAAACAGTGTTTACAAAGTATACTGTGGCTCTTTGGTTTATTTTCCAGTACGTATTTATTTATCCATAACATGATGTCAAAATTGGGTAGTCATCCTGGATGGACTCAGGCTACACACCACCCTGAGTAACCACTCACGACACTTGACACAGCACATCTGTCACCTTCTATGCACCGACTGACTAGAAAATCCTGAACACCTCAGCGACTTCGTGACCACGAAGATGTGTAGTTACTTAAGACTGTTTGCACAGTGGGGAAATCAGTGAAGGTACATTCCCTTCTTGAAGAAAATTCTAAATGAGAAACAATGGCAGTTTTATAACAGTCCTTAGTAAAAACTTCTGGAGTGTTAAATCAGCAAGTTTTCAGAGTGATATTAATTTGAGTCACTAATACAATAAAACTAATTTTCTCATTTGGATCACATTGAAGCAGATTTTGTATAAAAATTGTTTTCATGGACACAAACATCACCTGTTTTCTAGGAAAAACTTTAAAGATAAATTGACATGCCAAAATTGCTCAATGTATATTTTTTCTTTATATAAAATGCCCTTAAATTTAAATGTCAAGTCCCACGTAGCAATGAAGTGCACATCTCTAGATAATCTTACTACTTTTGTTATGGGTGCTAAGAAACCATTTTCACTGGTTAAAATAGTGACCCTTATTAATCTTAAAAGTGCATTTGTGAAATGTTGGTTTTGATGTAAACCTCACTATTCAAAATTTAAATCATGTAGTAGGTTCCCATTTTTAATACCCCTGAAATAGTCTGACCTAATATAGAAAGTTGGATCAATGTTAGGCATGAAGATTCACAGTTTACCAGACTTGTCATTCACATTTCACATTATGTTCTTGGCATTGTTTGTATGCCTCAGAGTTACTTCAAATTTAAGCCAGACTCCACTATAGCATAATGTTAATTAGGCAGTTTTCCCAAATCTGAGAACACCGATGCTAATCTACTTGTGATGTTTGAGGATGCACAGCTTAAATCCACTGTATATTTCAGGATCACGGAGAACGGCTTCATAGAAGACCTTGTGTTGCTGTTATAATCCTATTTAAGCAAACAACAAGAATCAAGTTATCAGATGTCTGCCAAACATAAACATTACAAACTTAAAAATGATTTACTGCTTATATCTAAGATTCATAATCATGTCACATGTAGGTATGTTAAATGTTAACATTTAGTTTTGAGTAAGAAAATTAAGTCACCACTGTGAGTTAAAGTTAGATGGCAAGACTGTGTATGTCAGTGACAATAAGGCATGTACCTGCTTTCCAGTATTCAAACTGCTACATTAACGATACAAACTACAGTGTACCGTGGTGGTTTCCAAACACCCAGTGTGAAAACCATCTGCCGGAACTTATTTTTTCTTTAGAAACAACATCCAAGATCATGCTGATTTTGCTTATAAGCTAACAGTCTCAGGCTGGTTCATTGGTGGTGCAGAGTTTTGGTCCTGGGGTCCTTCTCTCAGGCTCGTTGAACTTTACATGAGTCAGAGCTTGAATCAGCATAAAGCAAAATGACGTGCAATTAAAAATGACTGTTTTAGTGCTACTTTAAAAATTTAGGGTATTAAAGAGGATGTTTTCTAAGCTGATAATGAAGTGGCTAATGTACATGTCAAAGGTGGACTAATTCCTTACTGTTAGGGTTACATCTTGAATGTAGTTAATGCACTAAAACATTAGACCAGTGACTTTCCGCTTGGCTAGTCGGACTCCATCTTGTTTGTTTTGAAGGTAATTCAGATGACAATTTTTGAGTTGCAGAAGAAAATTACAGCATTAGAAAACTTTATATGGAGAATAATTCTGAGCCAAATTTACCTATTAAGGAACCGTTTCAGGAATCGTTGGAAGGTGGCTTATTCTGTAGTAACTATGCCTCAGCTGCCGTGCAGTTCGCCCAGAAACAATCCATTTTAACTTCTGAACGTTTGGTTTGGAGCACTTGTCTGATGAATATTCAGTTAAACACTTGGATACAAGCTCTTGCCAGAATGTCAGGTCTCTGCCATTTATCTGTACACAAATTAAAAAAAATTACTACTCCATTAAAAAAAGTCCTGTAGTATTTAATTGCAGTAATAACTGCAATCTTATGAGCACCTCTTTCTTCATCAAAAACATTTCAAGATAAGCTACTGAAGTTTCAAATCCAAGATATCATTTTATTTCAGGAGATAGTACAAGTTGTTTAGTTTCCTTGATAGTGTTAACAGGAGTGACCCTGGCATACCTTGGAATGTTTCTGAAGACATTCTACGTCTTCTGTTAACTCTGCACACTTCTGTGCTTGGATCTCCAGAGCGATGATAGACAATGCCAACACAGAAGGCTGAAAGAGATACATTTTAAAGTGAATGCTGGCCACGACAACAGGCACATAAATAGGTTTACTCTTTACGTAAAATATTTACCTTTGCTTTAGAAAACATAATCCTACAGTGGCAAGCCTTAAGTTGAGCTTCTAATCTTTCAAAATTAAGGCTGTTTCTCCTTAAAAAAAAAAAGATTAATTTTATGTAGATAATTTCACATCTAGTCAAAACAACTTTTTAGAAAAACATTGAAGTCAATTTTAACATTAAGTTTATACACATTTATAGAAAATTATTTGAAGTCAGTAAGTCCTCTTCCTTCAGAGACATTAATTCCTTAAAGAGGCCATACATGAATTTTTAAGTGATTTAGGACAAAACAAGAGTATCATGCCCCAATGATCAGGGTTTCTTTATATTTGAATAGATCTATTTCTGCATCTACTGAATTTCCTTTTTACATAAATCTGTTAGATGTTTACTTACTAGTTCTGTAATGGAAAATGTAATATAAATAAAGGTGGAAGTGTCCTTTAGTCCCAAGAATTAGTCTTCACATAACTTCCAGAAACTACTGACAGCTGAAGCTATTGACAACCAAAACCCTCCCTCCTGCTAGACAGCGAAGTAAACTTCAAGGAACTGCTGCTCCTTCAATAGGAATCTTCCCAGGACATTGAGTTTAAGCATCATCCAGACAATACAACTCTGATTCCCAAATGTCCTTGGTTCAGGACAAAGATCACTCACCTTTCGTATGGTAAGTTCTCTTGAATGAGTGAATAATACAGCTGCAGAAACTGAAAGGCAGTAGTAGCTTTGACTTTCCAGCACACCTTCTCCAACACAATCTTTTCCATTCTCATGAGGTCTGAGACCGTGAACCTGTACTGGCTTATTCGGATCAAGTCACTGGCCAAGGGGACATTCCTTTCCTCCTCTACGGATTTGACAGCCAGGTAGAAGCAGCTCAGTCCAACACACCCAAGGTGCTTGGGCTGTACCTAAAATGACAAGCCCATGTCTTTATTTCAATAAAAACAAAACAAAACCCATAAAGGACAAACTAGAACACACACCCACCATCAGGAAAATATGTCTTTGTGGTATACCACAAACTAGAACACACACCCACCATCAGGAAAATGTGTCTTTGTGGTATATTAACAGAAGGAATTAAAAAGATCAGTGGTGGCCTATCAACCCTTTGTAACCCACCTGGAACCAATTTTGGAGTAACTGGACCAAGCTGTATACTGTTGGGGTTCAGCACATAAAAATTCTTACTTTCTAGAAAATCACTCTAGAATGAACTATAAGCACAGTGTTATAGTTGGATCAAATAACTGGTCAAAGGCTTAGATGAGGGCTGAAACACAGCATATGCACAAAATTGATTCCCAGAATGCTGTTTTCCCAGGCTGTTTTCTTTGTAGTACCACATGTAAATGAGTTTTAAAATACTACAGTACGTAACTGTCACTCTGCCTGTAAAGTCTACTACCAAGCTCTTTTTTTTATTCATCATTTTCTGAATGTCACCATGTGAGACAGTCAAAATTCTATCCACTCCTAAGTTGCAGCTCAAAAAAACTTGAAGAAGCCTTTACCAGTGTTTGTGTTCTCCTCCTCTTGGAACCCTTCCAGCAATGTCTTTATGCCTCTTTGGAGGCATAATGTAATTACATTTCTTATGTTTTGTATTGTAGGATAGTTATTGGTACAAACATTCCCACAGAAGACTGTAATATACTTAAGGGACAGATGTATTTATTCTGTACAACATTTATACATTCCTGCAATTGCTGTTCCCACAAGTGATGCCCGCACTTGCTGTCTAAAGAGTTGTTTAATTAGTCTGCTGAACAAATTTCTTGAACCATCTAATTCAACGAATACAGTATTGAGTTCCTCCTCTCTGGGATACATTGTATTAGGGACCTAAAAGATGAGCTTTATTTGAATTGTCAGATAATCTCATGACCCACCAATGACCGTGGGCACACAGGGAAGGCAGATGTATTTGTAACAGCAAAACGAGCTCTGAAAGATACATGGATGTCCTGCTTATCCAACATAGGAAATAATAATATAAATGCTTCTCCACCAGAAGATACTCTATTGCAAGCAGAGGCTGGAAATGTCAAACTTATGCCAGACTTGAGTATGTCTATGGCTAAAACCATTAGAATTTTATCCTTGAATGGAGAGCTATATACTCTATTGACTAAGTGATTGATGGGATTACAAGGGGGAAAAACCCACCCGCTCATTCTTAATCACAATCTATCATTTTGCTGCTAATACATTTTTAAAATTTAAAGAGTACATAAATAAAAACACCCAACCTATTAAGAAAGATTTTTAATAACAGCCAACTCTCTTACTGGGAAACTGCAATTAATTATTTGATATTGGACTATTTTTCAGTGTCAAACGTTTAATAAGTAATGCATTATTCTTGATTATAATAAGAGTATCAAATCTGTAGTATGGCCTATCTGCTTAAAATAAAAAGGTCAAATTTATGAATATAAACCCAAAGCCAGCAATCTGCAAAACACATTGAGCCCAAGGAAGAAAATTCACTCAGGGTAATGTAACTTTAAACATACCTTCATTTTGGACAGGAATCTGTCCAGTAAATTCACAGCTAGAGAAAATGTCTCTGTGTCGAAGCCAAAGAACTGAGTGAGGCTAAGAAGATCTTTCACTTCAAAGTCCCTCAGTCTTGCAGTCATCCTGAGGCCCTTATCGTGTGCAGATTCAATTAGTCTCAAGCCACAGACCTTTGGCTGACATTTCAGCTCCTGTTCCAACAGTGCATTCAGCTGGTGTAGCAGTTTCTGGGAGTCGGTTGTGGTGAGTACCTCTATCATCTATATATAGAACAAAGCCCAGAAAGGATAAAAACAGCCAGCCCTTCCTGCACTGTCTTGTGCCAAGTGCTTGATACCATGTTTCCCCTCCCCCAACGGGGCTATGATCTAAGTCACAGCAGAGAGCCATCTGTTACACCCACCCTCCCCCTAACCAGTTGGTCACATCCTAAATTGTGAGTTCCTAGACAATAAGCCCAGGTCTCACTTCTTTTTAAAAAATTGCAAATCTTCCAAGGAACACTTGTCATCACTCACTGTCAAGAGATAACTGCACAGGACACTAAAACTTTGAAATTTGATGGTAGTTTGTATTCAGCCATGTATTAACACTGTAAACTGTTCAAGTTAGATAATTTTGCTTAGTCCTTAGCTCCTTATCTGTAAAGTGGGTATGAGGTTATTACCTCCCTTGATGTGTGGAATCTAAGAGGTCACCTGGGTATAGAGTTTAGCACATACAGTAGGTGCTCAATCATCAGTGGACAACATTAATGAGCTTATTTCTAGGTCTGTAAAATGATGCAACAATAGCTGTCTCTTTGGCTTCGAAGACTAAACAAGATGACTCCTGCAGAATTTAGCACACGGCGCTCAATGACTGTTAACCTTTACTGGTGTTGGGAAAGGAAGTTAAAGGGTGTTATGGGAGCACGTAGAGGGACGGGAGGCTAACCTAGCCTGCAAGAGGAACGTGCAATTTTATCACTTGTTAATAATGCACATTTATATGTCCCGGGAACATGCTACGCCCTGTGCATACACACAGCCCCTCCCAACGCAACTGAAAGACCAAGAGTCATTTGTCCTCTTACTTGCTGGAGGAGGACATTTAGGGTTGGGCAGCCACTAACTGTATGGGTTTAGCTCTTTCGCCCCCGTGCTGGCCCCGGGACCGCGTGCCTGCGGACACTGAGACCCCTCTGACCTGAGACAGGTCGGATCTGGCCCCGCCCCTCCGGGCTCAGACTAGCCTAGACTTGTTGCTGACCGAAGCGGGATCGCTAATCCAGGAACGGGGCGCGGGCCAGACTCACCCCTGACCCAGCGCCCCCCACCTTTCTCCCTACAGGCCCCCCTAAGTCACCCCGCGGTCCCCCCCGCCCCAGCTCACCTTGGTCGCGAATGCGGCTCCTTCGCTGTAATCACCCTCCCCGGGCCTGCTCTCACCTCAGCCCACGATGTCAGATCCGAGAGGCCTAGGAGGCGAGGGGACTCGTGGGCAAGAGGGGAGAGGCCCGGGGAGGGGGAGCTGTCCTGGGTGGAGGGCTCCGCAGTGCCGCACAGACGACACCGACCTCCGGAGGGTCAGCTCGGAGCCGAAGGGACTTGGACCGCCCTCCCGAGTCCTATATTGGAGGGCGGGGTCTTCCTGTATAGGGAAAGGGGGTATTTTCACCGCTAATTGGTGCAGTTCATTTGATGGATGGCCCCTGCGGACCAAAGAGGGCTGATCTGTAGAGAAGGCGTCAAATTCTCCGCCCCTTGAGACCACGCCCCCTACCTGTAAGCGTCTCCCATTGGAGAATTTTCCAATGTGTCAGTGAAGAGGAGGGCGAACCAAGTGCTGCACCCACCAACCCTTGCCCGGGTAAGGTGTCTGCTGTCCGCCGGGCCCGATTGGCCGCGGTATCTTTCCAGAATGTACTGGGGCTTTTTGTTCGGTGTAGTTTAGTTAGAGCGGCAGTGCCCCCCCCCCCTTTTTTTTTCCTAAAAGTACCGTGGCTAGTTACCGAAAAAGAAAAAAAAAGGAAAGCTTGTATTTTCATTAGAGGTGGAGAGGTGGTGGTGATCTTTCTTTGTGAGCTTTGAAAGTCAATTGATCCTTGCCTTCCTTTGCTTTTTGTATAATTTGTCAAAGAGTGGAGTTGGGCTACATAAATTCTTGGTCTTACACCAATTTTGTGAATTTGATGTTTTAGCCAATTGAAATAGAAAAGTTGGTAGATTTCCCGTGGCTTAAAATGAAAAGCGTGCGGTTGACTCTAAGAGGACCACCCAGGCAAAATAATTGTGACTGTGAATCTCGGTTCACAGATCTGTGTGGGAAGCAGTATTATTCTTCTTATTTACTGCAAATGAACTTAAAGTCTAATTATGAGTCTTTGCCAGGTTAGTGGGCAAATAATAAGTTTGAAGCCCCTAAATACCCTCCCTCCCTTCTCTCTCCCAGATTGTCACAAATGAGACCCATCTACAATAAAAAGACTGGTGAGCAAGGAGTCGTTTATTAGTTTTCATGGATTGTACCTGAATGTTCCTGTTCTCACAGCCCCTTCCCGGTCAGTAGCTCTGTGGGCTTTGAAAAAGTGAAAATCTAGAACACTTGCTGGCTGGCATCTCTGCCACGTGCTTCCCTGGGGCAGCGCCATTGAACCAAGTCCTGAAATTCGGGCAGAGTGGTGGGGAGGAAGAGGAAGGGAAAACCAGGGAGAAAACGTTAATATGACAAAATAAAAGTCCAGCCACACGATCAGGTCAGTTTGATAAACTGGCCTTGCAAATGGGAACGTGGCCTTGGTTCTCCTGGAAGATAAACTTATGAGTAGAAGTGGGCAATGTAAAACATTTATAGTAATTTGTGAGTTTATAAATATATGTTACTCTGGCTTTTAGTGACAAAATTAGAACTATATATACACATGCACTTGTTTACTAATATCTATTGAACACATAAAATGTGCCCCCGGAGAAAATATACCGGTCCCTGTCCTGGTGGACCATGTAGTCTCGTGGACAATATAAACACATAGACTTTGGAATAAAATGGACTTTTCTGACTTATTTTCAAATCGCAGGCTACTGACTAGAAAAAATTTTTCTCAAAAACGGGAAGTAAGAGGTTTTACTCACCTGATTACTGAGAGGATTAAATAATGCAAAGTACATAAAAAGAGAGGTGCTCAGAACACAGCGCTTGACAGATTATCAAATTACTAACGAACATTTGTCTTGAAAGGTCTTGTTTAAACACACATGTGATTGTGTTTTCTCTATTATCAGACTTAGTCTTCTACTTTCAGCCTAGAATTAGAGTATTAGAATTATTTATTTAGCACTAATAAAAGCATCTACATTGCATATACTAATTTTTATACTTTATTTTTTTAAGATTTCATTTATTTTTAGAGGGGAAGGGAAGGAGAGAGGGAGAGAAATATCAGTGTATGGTTGCCTCTCATGCATCCCCTGCTGGGAATTGGCCTGCAACCCAGGCATGTGCCCTGACTGGGAATCAAACTGTGATCCTTTGGTTCACAGGCCTGCACTCAATCCACTGAGCTACATGAGCCAGGGCTATACTTTATTTATACTTGAAATTTTCATGTGAAGCTTTAGATCGTATATCATTGTTGACGTAATTAAATTGTTTTCTCTCACACCAGGATCTTGTTATTACTTTGCATTAAAATTTGAAATTCTGTATATCAAAAAAAAAAATGGTTTCACTAGCACTGCAGAAAAATTAAGTCAATGAACATTCTTTACCTTTTCTCTTTCCCCTCACCCCCACTGTCATTTTTATTCCATAAAATTTGAACAGACTATCATTTAAATAATTTAAAAGAGCTAATTAGGAAACTGTGCAAATGTAAGACTCAATTATGACTCTTGTAAAAGAAAGAAATGAGCTCTTCATTTACTATAACTTTATTTTTAAAGATGTAATGATTTTTTTCTGAGCCTTTGTGCAAATGACTGACCTCTAGGGTATTTTCTGGACTCGATGCTGTATACAGCTGCCATCTTCATACTCTTCTCCATCAACAATAGTTAAGTGCAGCAAGAACCAAAGCTCAAAAGAAAATGGCCTTGAGACTGGGCACGAATCCCAGACATGAACGGGAGGATTTAATAATAATCTCTACATGGTAGACTGCAGAAATGCCTTTGAGCAACACAAATTAAAACAAGCAGGTGTGGGCCCTGGCCAGTGTAGCTCAGCTGCTTGTGGTGCATCCTGGAAGCCAAGAGGTGGCAGGTTCAGGGCATGTGCCTGACTTGTGGGCGTGGTCCCCAGTCAGGATGTGGCAGAGGCAAGGGATTAATGTTACTCTCTCACATCCGTGTTTCTCTCGCTCCCTCTCCCTTCCCCTCTCTCTAAAATCAATAAAGATATCTCTGGGTAAGGCTTAAAAAAAATAAGAAACAAAATAAGAAACCAGCAGGTGTTAGCAGTAGTGGTGTGTCACACCCTGCCTGGACTTACAGGGAAATTCCTCGGTGATTATGTTTGCATCCTGGAGATGGGAGGAGACTTTGCACTTCACCCTCTGTTCAAGGTTTCCTGATCAACGTTCGGAGGTTTTGGACGTAGGCTTGGTCAGCCGCGAGGAAAGCTGGAAAAGTAAGGATCAAAAAGACCTCAGCTGCGTCCCTTCCCTCTATTTCGTGATCCTTCCTGGAATTACTTATTACAGACCCCTGTCGCCTGTCCGACTCTTCTCCCATGTGTCTGCTCTGTGTTACTCACTTGAAGAGAAGCTGCTTGGCTGCGGCTCGTTTAGGGGTTTGTTAGCCCCTGGAATTATGTATAGTCTGGGTGTTGGTAGGGAGGCAGGGAGAAGGAAGGATACATAGAAAAACTAGGTATCCTTGCCACTGGAAGATCCTAGCTACCTCAGATACAGGAACCCCTCCCAATTAATTGAGGCTTTACTGTATTCCATGGAAAGCTAAACTTTGTCAAGTAAACCCACTGCTATTTATAGACACTGGGAGGCATTAGGGAGGGTACTTCTGCTCTCTAGAATTTAGTCTAATGGCCATAAATTCTGTTGAGTGCAGGGCTCAAAGCCAAGGTCAGCCAATAATAAAAAGGCTTTGCATTCGTGTTATATTTCCCATGTGCCAGGCTATATGCTGACCTTGAACATACATGATCTTCTTTGGTCCTCTAACAACTTTAATATTATTACTATTATTCTCTACAAAAATGAGAGATATTTTGTATATAACCCGATTTTAAATCAGAAAGTGTTAATTAACGTCAGGAAAGAACTATCACGGAAAAGGAAGTGTCTGACTATTGCAACAATCCAAGTCCCCACGTGACAATAGTCAATTTACATTTGGTCTGCTGTACTGCTATAGAAGCTGCTAGTCAAGTCCTCACAGATAACAATGGGAAAAAACATAAAGGAGCAGAAATCCTGTGTATTTAGCCTTCTTAAAATTCTTTGAATGGATGTAAAGAAATACCACTAAATCCTTTGCAAATCTTTATGTTTTATACATCAATTTTATATTCATAATATCCAGTTTCAAATTAAATGGACTCTTTTTGATTTAAAATATTCTATCTTGTCAAGTTCAAAAGCTTTACGTCAGAACTGACGTAAGAATCATAAAACATGAATTTTTTGTACCCATATGTGGTTAAAATATGATGGAATGAGGCACCATTTGCTCCAGGCTTCTTAAAATATCTTGTTGGAAGTCACCCATGCATAGATTCAGCTCAAATAGAACGAACAGTTTAAGACAGATTATAGAAGTTTCTATTTTTAATGGAAATATACGCATATGGAATAAAAATGGAATTCTCTTCTGGAAGGCGGCCCCTTGTAGTGCAGGCTTCCCCCTCTAGGCGAGTGTTCTAGGAACCCATCTGTATCCGTGTGCCAGCTGGTGGTGTTATGAGGCACGGCGTTCACTTTCAGTGAATTGTTTTTGAAGACTTGACGCATGTGCCCATTTCATGACGGGTGATTCACGAGTGCACCTGTGTACACCAGGCTGCATGTTGAGCAGTTTTGACCAGAAACAGCTCGACCCCCCCAGGCTCCACCCTGCCTAATCATCTGACCTCACCCCAAGCAACTTTTTTTGTTTCCCTGAGTTAAAAAAGCCCTCAGAGGGAAACATTTAGGCGATGTGGAAGAGGTGAAAGGAAAAAAAAAACAGCAGAAGCACAAAAAGTCATCAAATTGATGAGTTCAAATACTTGTTGAGTGGGGAAAAACATCTCGATAAGTGTATTGCATCAAATGGAGAGTATTTGGAAAGTGACTGAGATTTAGACATGTAAGAAAAATATGTAATTTTTAATAAACAGATTCCAGTTTGGGGGGTCCCTCCACTTGTATTTACATCATGCAACAATACGTGCAGTTTGTATGAGCATTAAAATACTTGGATGTAATAAATAATACTGCCAAATAGCCTTGAAACAGCTTTTCAGATAAGAAATCTCCAGTCACTCCTGGCCTTGTGGGAGAACTTCCAATGACTGCAAGCAGCAGTTACGTTGAGACGCCAAGGGTTAGGCTACCGTTTGCATGTCAGTTTTCTCAGTTACTAGTTCAGAGACTCACTACTTTTGTATTTTAGTCCTCCCCCTACCTGCGGC